ATTACAGTTCTTAATTTTTAATTCTTTAATATGCAGCTGTCAGCCAGCACAATACTTTCTCCTGCTCTGTTCACAATGTCTGCGGGAGAAATCTAAAACCAGTAACAGTAAACTTGCAAGTTGATTAGCCTGCAAGCTGTAGTGTTAGCCTGACTACTCCCGTCAGTCACATGACCCTCACCTTGCAGGTCGTAGCGGTCCGTCAAGAGGTTTCTGCTCGTCCAGTTAGTGTTGGTCTATTTTAGCCCAGAACAATGGCTAGATTCCTCCTTTCCTTCTTCCTTTCCTTTATCCTGTCCTACCTTAAGACACACTCTCTCATTCGCTTATCCAGTCTCCCACAGCTCTCACAAACACACACACCTACACACACCTACACACACCTCACACACACACACACACACACACACACACACACACACACACACACACACACACACACACACACACACACACACACACACACAGGGGTGGGACTAATGCATTAATGCACATGGACCTTGGAGAGCTAACAACAAATTGAGATTACATCAGGTGTCCTGCTCTCTCATGCCAGTCCCTTTTCACTGTGTGTGTCTGTGTGTCTGTGTAAGTGTGTCTGTGTGTCTGTGTCCAAGCCTCAGCTCAGCATACTGATCAATCTAATGCTCACATATTCCACAAAGAAACACACTCATACACCTCGTCGAGGGCATTTAAGGCTGTTAGCGTGAGAGCGCCAGAGAAGAAAGACCAGTGAATGGACTGACTGGCAGCTGTATTCAACAGGGGTAACGGCTGGCACCAAACCAGAACACACTGCGAGTTGGCATTGTTGATCCGTCCTGAAAGCCTCTTTAGACGAGATGAGCGGTGACACTAAGAGGTGCAGAGGAAAGGTTTTTATGATTCAGTGGTTGAACTCAGCTCTTTGTGAAGGTGTGTGTGTGTGTGTGTGTGTGTGTGTGTGTGTGTGTGTGTGTGTGTGTGTGTGTGTGTGTGTGTGTGTGTGTGTGTGTGTGTGTGTGTGTGTGTGTGTGTGTGTGTGTGTGTGTGTGTGTGTGTGTGTGTGTGTGTGTGTGTGTGTGTGTGTGTGTGTGTGTCTTTTATATGTGGGGAACATTGATTCAAATGAGTTTGTTTTGTTGGAGCTTGCTGAGGCTGGGAAAGGTTTTGGAAAAATCCAGAAGCCTGGAGTGTGAACATTCAGCAATACCACTCATGACACAATATTTTCTGCAAAAACACATCAATAGAGTAAAGATGGGCTATATGACTTATATTTTTATATATATATATATGAATAAATGGCAAATATTTTACTCTAAAACCCATAATATTTTTAAAAAATCACTAATGGAATATATATTTAATGTAGAGCTGCAACCAACAATTATTAGCTGATTCATCTTTTTGTCTATAAAATGTCAGAAAATAGTCTGACCTGTCTAAAACCCAAATATATTCAGTTTGCTATCATATATGACGACAAAAAGTAGCAAATCCTCACATTTGAACAGAGAAACAGAGAATGTTTGACATTTTTTCTTGTAAAATTCAATTAATCATCAGACTAAAACAATCAGCTGATGTTAAAACACAGGTTTTGGCTTCATTACTGACGGAGAAAAGAGGTGAGATAATTATCTTTTTATAATGTGCCACATTTATCCAGCAGTGGGTGGGTGAGTCCCTGATAAATGAATGTAGGACAATCACTGAGTTAGTTTCATACAGTCAGTATGATACTTTAGTGAGTATACTGTAACTCTGAGGTACATATGAGGCTATTTTCCAGTTTAATTAGTGTCAGTCCTATTATTTCTACTTGTATTCTCTGATGACACTAAGTCGTACTCTGTGTTAGTCCCTCTGGTCCTCATCACAAGCAAGAACTACCTGCTTGTACTTTTTGGGAACGTCAGGGTATCGAAGAGACTTGAAACTGAACAGCTCATACCATCTGGTGTCATTGTGTTTTAGTTTTCAAGTGTCCACATCTTCTCAACCTTCATCATTTTGCTTCGTCTAAAGCTACAGGAAATGTTCGGGAAAAGGCTGAAGTGCAGGGAACAGTGCCCAGCTTGTTCTGTGATCACCCAGAAAGCATTCGGTAACAAAATGTACCATCACCCGCCACCCACTGCTCTTCTTTTAGGAGAGTGAGTCAGAAAGTCAGAGAGACAAACATGGAACGGCAGAAAACTGCTGTTGAGCACCAACATACTTCAGAGCATTAGGGCAAAATGCTGCCAACTATGGTTAAGGGGATAATGATATTACTGATTAATGAATAATATCATGGTAATATGATCATATAAATTTAAATTTCCTATAGTCCAAATGAACAATTCTGAGCAAGTTGTGACTAAAAACCATGCACTATTAGTCCATAGCTAGCCGTGCTACGGTGCAGCCTCTGCAGCTGTGATACAGTTGTGATATTGTTTTAAACATATTGCCTGGCGCTAGCTGTGGTTAGCTTACAATTCAAAACTAAATCCAAAGAATCTTGTTTATAATTTCATGGGCATAATACCAGCCTGTAGAACCAAACAAGATATATTTTCGGCTGCATCCAACCAATCGAACCGGGCCATGCTGTTCCAAGCCATCCATCCAGCCAGTGGTCCCGATGATTCATTTACTGAGTCACAGCCATCAGAGTCCTCAAGTGAGCTAGCGGCTATTAATAGCCTGAACAGTATCAGTCTCACCGGCCTATTGTCCCCCCTAACGCATAACAAGGCTCTAGTCTTTCCTCGAGCCCCGTGCCGGGTCTTTGTGAGGCTGTCTGTCACACAGGCCAAAGGAGGGGCTATCAGGTTGCTCAATCGCTTGTAGCACTGAGGTGTGTGTGTGCGTGTGTGTGTGCGTGTGTGTGTTTGGTATTAGGAAACAAGCCACACAGAAGTAGCCTGTCCTCTGGAGACAGAAAGACAGATGGATCAGTGAAAAAAAACAAAAAAAAACAGTACATACCAACACGGGGCCCCACAAACAGAGTGACATGCATCGCCAGAAAAAAAAAAAGCAGTGTTTTGCTCGTCACTTCGTTTGCCAAAGTTGTTTAACTGGTAACGCTGCGGGACGGTTTATCTCGTTTGTGTGAGGAAGAGGAGCAGACACGGAGCTGAATACTGCGGCTTCACAGGCTGATTCCTCTGCTTGTTAGTGGAGTTTAATTTGATTTGACAAATATGTCTCTCTCCTGCAGGCCTTTTCTGTGTTCACCATAGTTTTCCTCCAGCTCAGTTAGGAAGTGATACAAATTAAAAAGACAGAAATTAGTCTTCTACCTCCTCACTACAGTATTTTCATTAACATTGAGGACAGCATGTTGAGTTTCTCAGGATTTCCATCTGTGTATTTAACTATTTGGGTTGGGTAGTTTTGGTGGATTTGGTGTGCACATAGTATGTGTAAATGTGTGGCAGTAGACTAAATCTGTGTTTCCATTTTACATACAATCTTTATGTATACCATTATAACAACGCACAAACTATACATTAAGTTTATAGTATTGAGTTAGGACATTGTGTAAGCGTTTGTTGAGTGTTGATGCGGACCAGATTCAAGCCCTCATATTGGCAAATGCATCTTGCTGAAGTGTATCTTCTCCAGCTGTTCAGCAGCTGACACTGAACCTCGGAGCTGCACGTGGACTGGGGGTTGTTACCAAAATGAGGATTTCACTTCATGGAGTTATACAGTACTGATATTATTTCATTTCTCTTTGTGGTTAAAGAACAAACTTGACAAAAACTGGGGAGAAATGAGGAAAATATTTTGATTTAGAGCCGCACCGATCAGACTTTTTATTTTGCAGTAACTTTTGGTGACGTCTGTACCTCACTGCATGAAACTCAATGGAATCTTTTTTATTTAAGTTGACAAGAGGCCAGAGATTGCTGTGGCACTTAAGACAGAGTTGGCAGCCTGTCGTGACTCAGTGAATGTAATGTTGATGAAAATAACCCCCTGTAGTGTTGATAGGTCATGTCTGTGCAATACCTGATCTGCTTTATAACTTCAGTATCGGCGCCAGTACTGCAGCATAGTGGTGCATCCCCGCTGTCTGTCATTAAGCCCTTTTAAAGATTCACTGAACTGCCCTTTAAGTTTAAATGCCAACCCTCTGCCATTAGCACCACAATCTGGACAAAATCATGCTAGTTGAAGCTGTGATTCAGAGATCCCTCTGGGCACTTCATCTCTGCTACATCATTATCCGACAGCTATACGTGAACATTTCTCTGCCTATTTTCAGCTTGTTCCCTAAGTGCCCACGTAAGTCATTCCACATCTCCAGCTTGAAAAAGGTCTGAAGGTCTCAAATCTGACAGGCTGCTGCTGCTAAATATACACACAGTGATAAAAAGATGTCTTAACTAATAGGAGAAGCTGATTAGATAACTCAGCCAGTGGATGGTCTGGATTGGTTTTCTTGGAATGTATTACACATAAATTAGATATCTAGAAGGCAAATGTGGCCTTTAAAGCAGATCTGTGGTCAAATCCCTAAAGTATGTTGTAGCTTCTGCTTGTACCTCATTTGTGGCTTTTAAACAGCTGTCAGTCTGATGAATTGCATTTTTAGAGTTTACCTTTTAGTTTAAGTAGGAAGTATGCAAAGTGCGCACCGCACTTAAAGGAAAGTGACAAGAGTCGTGTTTTGTGACACCTGCCTGAGGAAGGAAAACATGAAACAGTAACAGTTAAGGTATGTTTGCAGTTTCGTAGTGACAGGTAGGCCAGAGGAGTCGAGACATGTTAGCGCAGGCTCCGAATGCTGCTTGTCCACATTGCACGTGGCAAGCTTCACCAACAGCGATTGTATTGTTATACAATGCTCTATGGACTCCAGTTAACCTTTCTGTTGGTGTGGTTTGGGTGTTAATTGAGGTCAAAAACATGTTTTCGTTGCATCTGTGATGTATTCCTGAACCCTGATACACTTGGTGTCCAAATATGGACAGTGGATTTGTATGTAATCTATTTGTATTGTCTTTTTTTTCCAGGTGTGTCGTCCCGTGTCCCGGAGATCATGGCGGCCAGCACCCACTCCCCCGGAGGACCCAACGGTATAATACGGAGTCAATCCTTCGCCGGCTTCAGCACTCTACAGGAGCGTCGCTCTCGGTGAGCACAAATCTTTAAACTGTTAATGTATGGTCAGCTGATGTCACTCATTCCTGAAATGACAATTGAGGTCGATATGTGATGGAACAAATGTATTGTAAAGCAAATTAATCTTCCACCACCAACTTTAAAGTATCCTCAGAAACAGTATTGATTTGGATGTGAAGCTCTTTCACAATAACTATTTTACTAATATGTCAACATTTAATGATGGCTATCAAATTAATAGTTAACATCCGTTCAGGCATTAAAGAGTTGTTTTATCATTATAGTAACCTTAAAGGGGTATTGCACTGATTCAGTATTATTTTCTTGCCACTTTGGTTTTTAGAAATCAGAAATCCATCACTGTAACCGGACCTAGATTAAACACATCACACACACAGAAATAAGGAATTTACTGACTCTGGAATCTGGTGCCAACCTTCATGGTATTCAGCGAGCCACAGCAAGTCTCAAGATCCCAGAGAGGAGCCGAATTCTTAAGGAGTGATCAGCACACTGTTGTATAACCCAACAGCTAATTCCGTTTTCTGATACTTGTTTCATTCATAGCCGGAAGTTGAGAAGTTGGAGATTGATAAGAGTTTTTCTCAAAACTATCTGTGTTCGTCCCTCGTTGACTCATCCGTGACGGCTCTCACTCCATCGTCACAAGACGAAGCCCTCTCACATCCCAGAAATATCTCTTTACGATCTCAGACTTTCAGATGTTGACGCCTGGTCCTCCTCAGCAGCCCTGGTCCTGCTGAGAGAACCTATTTGAAGATGTCGTTCCCTCCTCTTTTCTCTCTGCTCAGACAGTGAATGGGGTAATTGGTTGGAATGACTCGGGTGTGTGGGCGACTGACAGCGACTGACAAGTTACCATTCTGATAATGAGCGAGGTGGAAAGCTACAGAGATGTGGCTTCTGAGGCCACTGGATTCTGTTAGCGTCTGTGTGTGTTATCGAGCAAGCACCATGTGTGTACCCATGTGCATGTTTTGTATGCATTTACGCATGCATGCATGCATACTGCAGACTTGTGTGTGTGTGTGTGTGTGAGTTAGTATCTATGTATATGTGTTTCTGTGTGTGTGTCCCTGCCAGGAGAACTTTCTACACTACAGCTTGCGTGACCCCAAGGCTACATAGCGCTCTCATTCAGGGCTGCCCTACATTTATGGCAGCTTAGCTTATTTTATGCTGCGTTCCCCTGCACGCAGGAAGACGTGGCACGTTCCAACTTATCGAGCGCTGGAATTGGTTGTCGCAATGTCCCTGAGATGACTCTGGGATTGTTTCGTTAAGTCTTGGGGAAATGTCGTTTTTCAGCTAAATCTGTAAGGGTTTTAAAAGCTGAGCGTTAACATAGATACTAAGCTTAGATGTGGTGCTGAAATCATTAATGAAGTTCTCAATCAACAATTTTGATCATCTATGAATCGTTTTTTATTAATGTATCAGGTAAAAATGCTTCTTAAATATTAAGATGCTGTTTTTCTCTTTTCTCTTTTAATTTGATAATACATTAAATAGTTTTTGAGTTTTGCACTGTTGATCAGACAAGACAAGCTATTAAAATACTTTACCTTGTTGTGATTGTATTTTTTTTCTGACTGATCACTCATTCTGAAAATAATTGACAGATCAATCGATATTGAATATAATCTTTAGTTGCAGTCCTGTTCAGACTTCAGACATCAGATCAGTGTGTGGGTACATGGTTTCCACATTTGTAGAGCTGTAACAATTAGTCAGTTAATCAATTAGCTGGTCAACAGAAACTTAATCAATCTATCTAATCTAAAAATAAACAATTTTGATAATGGATTAATTGTTAAGGTCCTTTTTCAACCAGAAATACCATTTTATATTTGATGGTTTCAGGTTCTCAAATGGGAGAATTTGCTGCTAAATAATGACCAAATAAGACATAGGTCATGTTTTCTGATGTTTTCTAGTCCACACAATTAATTAATGAATCTAAAAAATAATCAGAAGATTTATTTTTAATGAAAATAATTGTTAGTTTCAGCCGTACCCTTTTTGTACACATGATACCCTTAAAAGGAGCCTGTGTCACTGACTTTCATACAAATATATCCACTAATGAGCTCTGTTTAACTCTATCCACATTCCCCCCCTTGAGTCAGTCACATTGTTGTTGTTCAACTGCTGGAGGACTGTGGGGAAGAGGGTGAAGAACACTTGAATGTCATTGATTGCCGGGAGTGTGTTTGTGCCTGAGTGAGTGTGTGTGTGTGTTTGTAAGTTCACTCCAGCAGAAGACAAATGGCAGCCTTACTCAGGTCAAACACAAAAACTGGGGGGTGGGAAGCACATGTTTGCATGTGTTCACAGATATGTGTGCGTACTTGTGATTTAGCACACCCCTGTGATTGATGAAGAGGTTCACCGCTGAAGTTATACTGTGAGTTTCTGTGTGTGTGCCCGTGCTTGACAGGTTTTTGCTGACGGTACGTGGATTATATGTAGGTGAAATGTCTCAGTCCTGTGTGACTGAGTTATCTTGGTGTGAACAGACACGATGAGTCCTCTCCATCCGACAAATGAGACAAATTCATGCTGAGACTGGCCCAAGGGCTTGTTGGGCAGGTTGCTGTAAAATAATAAAATATGGGACTTAATCTTGTGTCTTTGTTCCTCTGAAACAGGGATTTTTTAAAGTCTGACCACCCCCTCAAACACAATTAAGACTCAAAGACCCTAAATCCCAATTTGATTTGGGGAATAATCATGCTCTGAGCTTTGGAGATACAGTTTTACATCATTTTAGGGGCTTTGGGGGATGGAAACAGGAAGTGTAATGTTGCCATGGAGTCAGTTAGTTAGCTGTGGGCTCCAACATGAACCCCTTTGTATTTGCCTGTATTTTTTGGCACCCATTGAAAGTATGCTGAATTAGCTACAATTAGCTATTAGCAGTTTTCAGTGTACTTATGGTTGTACAGACAACTATCACTGAATCACTTTGAGCCTGAGAAAATCTTCAGTTATAAGGAGCGTCCTGTTTTCTGTGATTTTTAAGCGGATCTGTGGATGTTAATTTGTGATGGAGACCGAGAAATACAAGTCACACTGCATCTAAAAATATGTATCATGTTTGTATGTTCAGATTTGACTGAGTTTTAGTACTCAGTAGATGAGGATTGTATTCCTATATTCTGCTGTTGTTATGAAAAGCAATCTCAATGTGTTTTCCAAGTTTAAAAAATGTTCATCACACTGCACAGACAACCCGCTTACACAAGACCCTCTATTGTACTCACTAATGTGTGTGTGTGTGTCTGTGTGTGTTTGTGTAGGTGTAACTCCTTCATGGGGAACTCAGCGGTACAGAAGAAGCCTCAGTCCAAGCCAAAGAAGCCCCACCTGTCAGGACACAAAGGAGGCAGCAGCTCCAGAGAGCCGCAGCCCAAAAGACTGGAGGAGGTTTACACTGCACTCAAACAAGGCCTGGAGTGAGTAACCCATACACTGATGTACACTTACTGTATACACACACTTCACTCTGTCAAGCAATGACAAACTTCTTCCTCCTCAAAACATAAACTGATCAAATGTTCCAGAGTAATCATTTAATAATTTCAGACCATAAATGTTAGTAATCTTTTCCTTTTTAATGTGTATAACCACCCATGTTCTGCTGCATGTATTTACATAACTGCACAAATGTTTATGTACCAATGTGTCTACAGCTGTCATTATATACATATTATTGTCTTGTGGTGTGCTTGCATTGCTGAATGCTATTACTTTACTGTCCCTCACAGAGATTTATCTTTTCAAATTTCTATAAAACCTGAGTTTTTTTTCTTCCTTTTTTGTCCCGTAGTGAATATCTTGAAGTTCATCAAACAGAGCTGGACAAACTCATGTCTCTGATGAAGGACATGAAGAGGAACTCTCGCCTGGTGAGAGGCTGCACATCAGTTTATCCCTGCGACCTGTCTCACCCACATCTAACAAAGGAATAGATTTACATTTTAGGACGTACACTTACTTGCTTTCTTTCCAAGACTGAGTTGAGAAGGTTGATAACTCTCTTGTGTCCATACTGTAAATATGAATTTACAACCAGGAGACCGTTAGCTTAGTTTATCAGAAATATTGGAAACGAGGGGAAATAACTGGCCTGACTCTGTTCAAAGGTATGAGGTATCTGCCTACCAGCACCTCTAAAGATTTTATTACCTTGTTTTATTACCAGAGCCAAGCTGTTTCCCCCTGTTTGCTATAATGGATGCAATGCTAATCACTAAGCTAACCTTCTGCTGACTCCAGTTAAATATTTAGTGTACATGCATGAAAGTGGAATAGATCTTCTAATCTAGCAAGAAAGCAAATAAGTATATTTCCCAAAATGAGACTATTATTTTGAAGAATTATACACTGTTGCTTATGTCTCACAAATATCTGTGTATGAAAGCAGCAAGAGCGAAAATTTGCACATTATGTTTAATTTTTTATTTTAATGATAATACATCACACACAATAATAATACATCAACTTTATCGTCACAAATTCCCACACGGTAAACACATTTTGATTTGTGACAATACACACAGTCACACACACTTACTATACGCAGAGTTAAGGCTGCTACTGAAAGAGGCGTATAATAGGATCTTCCTTTTGATGCCACAACTACAGTCTGCTTTGCATTACTTAAGCAGACTCAGCTGTACTGTCTTTCTGTACTAACTGTGTGATTGCATGTGTGTTTTCTCTCTCCAGGGAGTGCTGTACGATCTTGACAAGGTGAGCTGATGGAGGGGAGGGTCTACTGTAACAACTGCTCCGAGTTTGATGTGTCTTTGATGTTAAAAAAAAAAAAAAAAAAAAAAGACTTGGAGGGAGAAACAGCTAAAGGCAGAAAAATGGAGGGAGAAATGAGTGCAGGAATAATGCAGGAAAAAGGATGAAGAAGAGAAATGTGTGATTGGACAGGAGATGACAGCTTGAGAGGGATAAGCTGTGAGATATTTCCATATAAAGACAACATACCATTTAGCTAAACGTTTTGCCAACTTGTGACATATACGGTATTCAAAACAATATGCAACCGAGAGCTGAATAATTGTTCATTAATGATCACAAATGTCACTTTTTTGTAGGCTCAGGTTTGCAAACTGTGCCTCATTATATCCTGTAGTATAGACATACAAATCACTATGTTTACAGCTTTCAACCACATATATGTAATATACAGTGAATTATTGTGCTGTCTCTGTCTTCCTGCAGCAAATCAAAACCATTGAGAGATACATGAGACGTCTGGAGTTTCACATGAGCAAGGTAGGAACTGCTGTGATGGACTGATATCATTGTCAATATCCATAAAATATCTCTTCTGAGTCTTTATTTTCTGCTTTCCTGTGTTTCGCTTGGAAAGTATCCATTAAGTGGTGCTGAAGATTTCACAACTTAAGTCTTTCTCCACATCTGTGGCATTCACACAGTCACAATTGCACCACAATGCTGGCGCGTACAGTATTTCCACCTCTTTTAGAGCAATAGTTACTGGAATATATTGTTGCATATTTGCTTTCTTGTAGAGAATTTCATGCAGGAATTAATACTACTCTCATATCTGTCCGTAATGTACAATCTGTACAAACGTACAGTGTAAAAACGACTATTTCTTGTGCAGACAGAGCTAACTACCAGCACACAAGGCGATTAGCTTAGCATAAAGACAATAAAGACAAGTTAATGGGGGGGGGACATCTAACCAGGCTTTATCCAAAAGTAAAAAAAAAAAACAGCACTCCTGAAGCTTTTTTTGGGTGCAGATTAAACAAACAAAATTAAAAATATTAAATTTAGCACATTTTGTTACCTTTGCATAGAGCCAGGCTAGCTTTTCCCCACTGTTTACAGTCTGGATGCTAAGCTAAGCTAAGCTAACCAGCTGCTCACGTTTCTAGAATTTTCTTACTTCCTGCTGGTTTCATGTTGACGTTACGAGTAAAATGGAAGTGTTAAGCTGGAGATATGCTTGCTTTTTAACCCCTTTTCCGCATTCATTACTGAGGCTCCAATGGGACGCGGGATACACGAGGCGGCCATCGTGCGAACGCGTCTTTAAAAGCAACTATATCTCCAGCCTGAGTCCACGCTCCACTGACTTTGTCAAGCTGGCTTCAGGCAGGATTTTTGCTGCCAGGCGATATTCTGCTCTCCTCTGGTTCATGTGTGGACGTATTAGGGATGTTTCCAGCTGTTCTAATGCCAAGAGGGAAACTTTTTTCTTTCATCCCTCCTTTGTAGCCTCCTGCCTGGTTGCCAGTTGGGGACATTAATCCCCTGCAAGGTTGTGCAGCTCTGTGACTTTTCTTCCACATCCCCTTCTGTAGTCCTGTAATGGTCTCCCTCGCTGTGCGTCAAATCAGACGCGACAGCAGGCGATCAAAATACACACCCCCAAACAACTGCGCAGCTATAAAGGTAACCATGGTTACCTGAGCCTTTTGAAGTCCTAAGGAGCACAGAGGAGTCATCTATTGGCTGACCTTAACCCCCTTATGTTCCCATGCATCCGGACGGACAACAACGAAAACAAACACATGTAAAGAACAATATGACAGACGACATAGAGCGAGTCCTTGGACAGATTTATAGCTCACAAGTGTTTCTGAAGGGTGAAAGCAACGGAAAATCTGGGTCAGGGCAGTTACTAGGCTACAGTGAGGAGCGATTGACAGTGATTGAAAGGTCTGATGAGGATGAAAATAGGTGAGGTTGTCTTAGAAACTCTGGAAATTCATATGCGTGCATACTCCACTTTGACTTTGGTTACAAAGAAAGAACACGAGCAGATTGGGTGCTTGTTCTGTCTTGTGAGGTTGTCACAGGATGCAGTTAAAACAAACACACTCTCGAAGCCTTTCTACTTAACATCCAACACGAAGCTCTTCTGTTCTTTCAGGCTCTGTGCAAAAAATAGATTTGAATGCACTTGTAAATATTTGAGAGAGTGACTGATTTATCTCGTCAGGCAGGTAAAAAGCCTCAAGAGTCAAAGCGTGACTAAAAAGTAAGTTAAATCTTGCACTCTTTGTGCTCTTTCTAAATATACACCAGTGCTCCCCTCGCTAAACCCTCGTCTTTTCATTCACCGTCTGGCTTTGTGCGGGTTATTGGCTGGTGATAAAATAGTTTAAATAAATTCTCAAGCCTTTGTATTGAGATGTGAGTTTTTCCCCTGGTGTTTCTCTGTAACAAACTGTATTTGATTTGACTGCAAGAAGTAGTCCTGTAGTGTAGCACGTGTCCTGAATTTTTTTCAGGACATACAGAAGTATGATTATTCTTTTCAAGTGAATTGTAATTTAGTTATAAATTGAAAGAGGAAATGCGTACTGGATTCACAAACAAAACCAATGCCAGTTCAAAGTTGACTAGCAGCCTTGAATGCCCCCCTGCCTGCCCCGTAACAGCTATTGGCTTTACACACACACACACACACACACACACACACACACACACACACACACACACACACACACACACACTCTCACAGGACAGGTCCATTCTCCAAACCTCAGCATCAGCAGATAGCTATTGAGTAAGATCAATTGTTTAGTGTCCAGCTAAGAGAATCGGCCAACCACAAAAGGATTGAGGTCAGGAAATTAAATCTCACGCACGCACACATACACAAAGAGCTGGTCTCATCCTTAAATAAAGAGTGGCTCCAGTTGTGAACTGATGCTGTGATATTTGTAGGTTGATGATTAGCCTTTGACAGAGCTCGAATTCGGTTTTGTAGAAATTGATTACTGAATAAACAGAGTTGTCAGGTCCGTCATTTACTTTCAGACAGATACGCATATTGTATATCTATCAGTTAGAAAGATTGACAGATAGACAGATAAATCCGTGCATGTCAGTCAATAAGTTACAAATGTCAAAATAGGTTTGAAGTCATTTAGAATCGTCGAACTCCGAAATATCAACATCAGTATCGGGCCTTAGAAACACAGTGTGTCGTTCTCTTAAAACCACACCCACTAGTGGGGAAAACGATCTGCGCCACAATATGCAACCGAAGGCTGAAATGCTAAAACATTTTCCCCCATTCTTCCTTCTTCTGTATCCACTTTTGTCTTCTTCAAGGTTCAGTTTTTCAGTTTGGCAGCTCATAACAACTTGGTTCTGGGTTCATCATCATTGCCTTTCCGGTGTGGGCGGGACTTAAATGAGCTCTCTCTCCATTGGCTGGGTGATAATGTTTTGAGGGATTTGTGAACATTAGCATTATAAAAGCACACTAGCCTAGCCATGTATAAAAGATGAAAGAGGAAGTACATGGAGGAGGAGGAACCACCTTCACCTTGATATTTATCCATTAGCACCATCAGACAGACTGATGAGTACTCAGAAATGAAAATGGCTAACTCAGTAGAACAACATGCAGGAAAAAAGGCAGCAATGAACTCCTGTGTGAAGGACACCTAGAATACAGGTATTAACATTCATTTACACACATTTATTATCATATCAGGTACAGAAATGAATAGTAAATGATCAGTCTGTATTTTATATACAAGAACAAAAGCAGCACAGAACTTTACCTCATCTCATCTTCAGTTATATATTGAGTTCTATTCAGCAGCTGTGAGCTACAGTAAGTGTGTACATGTTTGTCAGTGTTTGTGCTCAGGCACAGGCGTGTCTCTTTGTGCAGGACAGCTGCCGTGAGGGATGACTTAACAATCATCCATCAGCAAGTTGTTAGAGTGTGTGTGTGTGTGCATGTGTGTGTGACTCACATCAGCCCAGTCTTTTGTTCCTGTTCTTGCTGCTGGCTGACTGCAGATGTCCCAGCTGTAATTGGCACACATGAAGGAAGCAGGTGGCACAATACAACCCCTATGATGTCCTGCATGGGATAGGGTCTGTGATGTGTGTGTGTGTGTGTGTGTGTGTGTGTGTGTGTGTGTGTGTGTGTGTGGTGTGTGTTGGCTACTAGTTTCAGCAGGGCATCATTAAAGAGATGAGCGATAGAGATTTAAGGTGAGAAGAGTGTCTGCCAGGCGCGTCCTCCTCCCCCAAGAGAGATAGAAATTGTGCGTTTGTGTGGTAACCATGTGCCAAATTCAATCCAGAATGAGTGTGAATACTTTGCATGTGATTATTTTTAATATAGGGCCTTTTTACGTTCCCTTCTTCCCTTGAATGCTAATCTTGCCACAAACACACACACACACACGCACCCACAGATCCCCAGAGAGAGGCATGTGTGTTTGATGCTGTTTGATGTGGCCCGCCTGTTTTAATCTGCTTATAATCACTCGCCCCCCTGGCACAAAGTGTGTGTATGTGTGTTTGGATATATATGTGTGTGTGCACCATTGTCCTACAATGTGGGATAATGGCCGTAACTTTAAGAGGATTCCTGCCATATCCTCAAGATTCTCCTCTCATATTTAAAATCCCACAGTTTAAAGACAGATGTACTGTAGTTACAGAGACAATCCTTTAAAACTCCCAGTGAAAAACCACCACTTTTACATCTGACTACTCTGTCAAACCATCAAACAAGTATTTATTATTTGGTATTTCTACAAGGATTAGCTTGGGAGGGAGTTAAGAACACAAAAAATAAGCGCTAAAATGGATTTTTCACCCATGATAGATGTGAACACAATATTATCCTCACCATGGGCATAATTGATTTCCCAATAAAGATTTTCCCATAATCCCCTACTGGGTCTCTGAGCCATTCAGGTTTTGTCATCCTACTTAGCTGTAATTAATACAGGGACCCTGTGTCCAATAGAGGACTGGACTTAGAATACATTTACATTTACTATCTCTTCACATCTGGTAAGAGTTAATTAAGAAGGTTAGACGGGTTTTAGTTTTTTTTGGCTTCAGCGAAATGGATATTTAAATGAGCACATTGGTGTCATATTTTGACCCAGAAATCCATTATTTGTGTTAGGGAGGTTATGAATATAACGTTGTACATAGATCCAGGCTTTGTCTTAGTGATGGTAAGTTTTGTTATTTTCATTATCCATTAATCTGTCAATTTATTTTCTTGATTGTTTAATCATCTCGTCTATAAAATATAAAAACAGTAAAAAAAAAAAGTCCTTTACAAGTCCTAGAAGTCTTCAGGCTGTTCTCTGAATCCCAAACTCACAAATATTCTGATTATTATCATGAAAACCAGAAAATATGGACATTTAAAAAGCTGTGTTTTTTGGTATTTTGCCTATAACATTACTGAACCCATTAACTTAAACTATTTCAACTGTTTTCAATTTTCTAATTAATACAAAATAAATACAAAAACCCAGAAATACAAAATGAAGCAAGGATTAAATACAGGAAGTGTATGCCAGATAAAAGCGTATTTGTGTGTTGGTGTGTTTCTAGCTAGTGAGACCATTGTCTTTCTCTGTTGCCCAGGCCTCTCCTCTGTTCAGTACTGCTGGTGTGTGTTTATCTCACATTTGATCCATTTGCCCACGTTGAGGTTTCTGCTTTTTCTTTGTTTGTGTTTTGCCTTATACGTTTCTTCTTTTTCTGGGGTGAAATGTGCCCGAGGCGCAGCAATATGCTGATGGCCAACCGATGGAGTGGAGCTTGGCTGACCTTCAAAAGGACATTTCCTTGTAGGCAGCAAGGGGCTATTGTAATTGGGGACAGAAAAATAGCTTAATTAGCTGATAATGGTATGATTGCTGCCTGGGAAGAATGATGGCTATTCATCAGCCCCAGTTTGTGAAGGCCCAATTTTACTACAGTGGCACATAATTTCCTCAAAATGAATGACTTATTGTAGTTGTCTACTCATTTATGTGAGCACAATATTGTAGTATTTCTTCACTTAATCGGTGCAAAAGTTCACTTGGATGAATGCGTCTTTTCTTTTGAATTCAGCTCAGCCTCCACTGCTCATGTGTTGCCTTGTTTTCTTGTAAACAAATGTTCTTTTAAGGCTGTCGATTGGTGGCTCTGAACCAACTCCACGCCAATCAGAGGGGCTGAGAATAAAAGCTGTGGTTGGAGGGTGTTTTATTGCTGGCTCAGCTCAGCTGCTGCAGCAGTCCCACATACACCACATACCACAGACAGACAGACGGGGCTGGGTCCTAGTCAGGGGTGGGGGTTGCTGAGGGGAACTGGTTGGTTTGAGGTAGAGTTGGTGGGGATTGGGTGTTTTGTTTTTTTAAGTGTGTCTGCCAACAATATTGTAGCATCATCCAGCTACATTACCCATCCTCTAGAACAGAAACATCCCACTTCAAACCACTTTCACTTTTTACCCTCATGTGCCCACCCACCACAGCAACAACATGCTCTCCATACACATGTAAACATGTCCACATACATAGTCGCAGAGTGTACTCTCACAAACATGCTGATGGTGTACGTCTCATGCACATAGATGCACAAACAAACACTCAGAGAAGCTGTTAGGATGGCAGGAGCCAGAATGGCCCATTTTCTCCCGCTTCTCCCTAATGAGAGCCATAAAGAGCGCGATGCATCAATATTTCAGCGCTCTCGTCAGGCAGGCTGCAATATTTCCCTTTGATGAGACTCACCAGAGGTGTTTTGTTTTGCCCTGCTGCCACTCCGAATTCAGGAAAGCCAGAAAATTAGACCGACGGGACACTGAAAATCTGGACTGCTGGTAGCTAGAAATAGAATAGAAATTACTTTGAGGGACTCAGCAAAAGTGCTTTTTTTAAATTTTTGTTTGTTTCTGTCATTCTGAGCCGCCTGTGTTTAGCCATGCTAGCAGCTCAAGCTCCATCACCTTTGACTTTGGACAGAAAAGTGAATTTCTCATCATCACGCTCGATAGAACTGTTGCTGCTCTGGTTACAACATCACCTTCATCTTGACGATTTCATTTCTGTTGAAACTCCCAACATTTCAGCTCTCAGTAAGGCAGCAGGATGTTGATGGAGTCGTTCCCTGTGGGTTTGGGTTACATCAGACTGGCGCTGCAAACTGAAGTCAGGCAGACGTCTCCAAATGAGCTCTAAACGCCGTCTGTTGTTCCCCCGCTTTGGGAGTGTCCCACTGGGGTCGCTTACTGGGACGGCATGGGCGTCTGCCACTGGAGGCTACTGTTACATTGATAGATACCAGCTGTATCTGCTCACATTTTAACCATTTATTTATACCATCTTTTTAAATATTTCATCAGTGTTTCTCAACAGTGGCTATTTTTGCTCTAGCTGAAGACCCGTTGATAAAAGTTACTGAATACTGCACAAGCCTGAAGCTGTGTTGGGCATCCATGAATGAATTCCAGTGAGATGTGAACACATCTAGAATAATTTAGATGGCAGTTGAAAGTTTGTGAGGAGTTTCCTGCCCAGGGATGTTTTGATGTAACGTAAGGAGGGTTTCAAGCTTCAAAGACTCGCTTCGTTTCATTAGTGCAGAAGTTTCTCACTCTCTCGTGTGTGTCTGTGTGTGTCTGAGCACTAATAAATGTGAAAGTTTGTGTATGAATGCATGCTTGTCCTTGTCTAAGCGTTTATTAAAGATGGAGGGACTCTGTGTGCGTGCTTTCAGGTGGACGAGCTGTACGAGGCCTTCTGCATCCAGAGCCGTCTGAGGGAAGGTGCCAGTCGGATGAAGCAGGCCTTCTCCTCCTCTCCCTCTACTAAAGGCACCAAGGAGAGCATCGCAGAGGTCAACCGCCGCTACAAGGAGTACACTGAGGTACTAGCATAGAGCATCATTTACAGTGTATGGGGAATAGAATATGGGGAGTTTTGCATGAAGACACTTCTTTACCTGATCAAAGTAGACAGGTAGACCTTTGAGGAGAGAGGAATAAATTAGGTGTTACATTCACATTCACACATCCTCTAAAAATATAACAACATGCATTAAACATTGGGTCACACAGGTATTGTTAACTGCTTACACTGTCATCGGTAAACACTGAGGTATATATTCATATAATTAAAGAATGACCCTTAAATCCCAGTAACACACACACATATCTCTCATCACCTGTCCTGAGGGCTTAGACCAGCTGTCCTGCCTCGTCTGCAGTTTAGTGTTGACTGGCTTTGTCAAAGTCTCTTGAGATAACTTGATTGCTATTGTTGTTCTTGTCTTGCGTGACAAAGGGCTTTTTATGTGATCAGTCGTATGTGTCTCTCCTTCTACAGAACATGAGCACGTTCGAGAGCGAGCTGGAGAACCTGCTCGGGGAATTTCACATCAAAATGAAAGGTGAGATAAGAAAACGTTGTCCAAATGACAAGTAAACTGATTCACATACCGATACTCCTTTCTGAAATAATAGAATAATTCACTCATGTTTACAAGAATGTTTTGGTGATGAGCTGAGGTCACGGCTTTGATCCTGACAACAAGAAACCCGTTATGTGAACTGTAGTGGGAACCTCTTCATTGTAAATCACCCAGCTAAATAGTAAATTCACCTAAAACCAAAAGAGGTTGCTTGCTTTGGCTTTTTTTTTTAAAACCAATTTCCTCTCTCTGACAGGTTTGGCAGGCTTTGCTAGGCTCTGTCCTGGAGACCAGTATGAGGCAAGTACCTTTTATATGTTTATGTAACACAGGGCCGTTATCCATGTGTGAAATTGTGCTAAACCATTCAGTTCAGAGATAGAACAGGACAATTTATACTTTAAGTAAACCTACAAGTTGGAGTTTGGTGGTTTCCAGCAGAATGAAATGGTAGAATAAGAAGTATCCCTCTTGCGTCAGGCTTACTTCTTTCTTTTTCCTACTCTGCCTTTCCATTCCTTCCATTAGATCTTCATGCGGTACGGTCGCCAGCGGTGGAAGTTGAAGGGAAGGATTGAAGTCAACTCCAGACAGAGTTGGGATGGAGATGAGATGGTCTTCATGCCTCTCATCACTGACCTTATCAACATCAAGGTGCTGTAGAAATCCAGATACATAACTTTGTGCCTAAAATACTATTTTACTTAAGTAAATTAATCCAAATCAAATGTGCAACTTGTGTGCAAGTTTGTTTTTCATGCACAATATCCTATTACCATATTTATCAGAGCTTCTTCCTTGGTTGATTCTCCATAACAGACATTTTCTCCTGATTTCATCATGCCAGTGCAAACCTCACTATACAGCAGGTCTAACCGATTCTGTCTCTGTCTGACTTCTTATCTGAAGTCAAGAGTGATAGTTTACGGAAGAAAACAATTCATCGACAATCACCTGACTTATGTCCCGATGTCAGAAGAACCCATATTATGGCTTTCTTGACTTGAGTTGTAAACAAAGGTTGTCTGTTGGCCCCAATCAGGTGACGGAGCTGAAGGGCCTGGCCACTCACATGCTGGTGGGCAGCGTGATCTGTGAGACCAAGGAGCTGTTTACTGCCATGCCTCAGGTGGTGGCTGTGGACGTTAATGACCTGGGGACCATCAAACTCAACCTGGAGGTCACGTGGTAGTAAGTCGACTCTTTTACATTATTTTTTTGGCCTTCGACAGTCAGTGTAGAAGAGAGACAGAAAACATGAAGAGAAACAAAGGTCCCACGTTCAGAAGTCAAAAGGTGGATTTTGCAGTTATGCGTTATGCACATTAAGCATTAGGTTACTGGGGCGCCCCATATAATGAGATTTATAAGCAGTTTTCATCACTGCATATATACAATTTTTTAATTTGCATTTTAATAACCAAATTTTAGGCAACGTTTCTGAAGATGTTTGTTGATTTGCACATTTACACATTACAGTATAGATGAATTAGATAGACTGGGAGGTTAAAATAAGCTGGTCATTTTGTTGTTATTTCATGGAGATTCATCCAAGTCCACTAAAGTTTCAATGAAATTTAGTTAGGGTGAGTATATTCAGTTTTCAGGGATGAAGGGTTTGCAGTGTTTCAGTCAGATATAGCTACAGAGCCTTTCACCGCAAAGATTTTATCTCTCAATTGTTCTTCTTTACAGTTATACTTCTTATAGCTATTTGTATTCCTGCATAATCAGTATCTCAGTCATTGGCTGTGTGTTAAGTTGCCAGTTTGTTATTGGTGTCGTAGCTGTAAATTCAGTCTACATTACTTGTAGTTATCTGCCATCTGGTGGAGAAACATGGCCATTACAAATTATGGAAGCTTACTAACCAAATACAATTAATGAAATCACTTATACAGCATATGAAGATAGGCATGTATAAAACACAGAGAGCAATCACAGTAAGTGCCTTGTTTTCATTTCCCTATCCAGCCCTTTCGATGTCGAGGACCTGACTCTGTCGTCTGGCAACGTGAGCAAAGCTACAGCTCTCCAGAGACGAGTGTCAGTCTACAGCCAGGGCACGCCGGAGACCCCCACCTTCCAGGACACCTCCTTCTTTGTGAGTGCAACACACAAACCTGCTTTAGCTTTACTGGTGTGGTGGAAGACTCTCCCCCAAAATCAAATTAAATCACCACCTAGGCTGGAAGAGAAAATCCAATCTTTATGTTTTTTAGGCTTTAACTGAGTGAATTGAGGTGAAAGAGATGACATTATGTGCACCTCCCTTGTCCCTGCACACTAACCTGAGTCTGAGCCCTACAATTAGATATTTTATAATGGCACACATTTTTCCTGTTGATGCATCATGCTTATGCTAGTGCTGCCCCTAAACTAACCCTCACCCATTTCCCTGCTATCCTCCTCTCCTTTTGCATTTCCACATCAAAACCCCTTACCCACACTCTGTCCCACTTTATACATTTATCCATCCCTCCTGTCTCTCACTCACCTGCCCTCACTCAAATACCCAACACCTCGTCCTATTTGCCTGCATGCATTGTGTTAAGAAGTGGCGGCCATATCCTGTGGAACGCCAGCGCCTCTCCTTCCTGCACATGCTCCGAGACACCCTGCTAGAGAAGCTAAGGCGCAGTCGTTCGTTTGGTGACCTGGCCTCACTCCGGCCAAGGCCCAAATCCAGTCTGGAGGTCTATGTGAGTGTGTTGTGGCCCCTCGACCCTCCTAACCTGACTTTTGTGTGCCCTCTACCTCACTGACATGATGAGGATGGGCACCTCTGCTGGTGTGGACACACTTGGCTTTCTGTGGGCTAAAGAATGCCATGTGTGGCTGTTTGCATGTTTATTTGCATGACATGCTTTGAACTCTGTGTGTTCCTTTTGGTTTCAGATTTAGCTTACTGTCATTCTATCTTGGTTAAACTGACCTGGCCATAAGAATTTAATGAGACAAGTGGAGTTGGTTTGTTAGAGTGGATGTTTTAAGTATGTCCGCTTTCTCTTGTACTTTTTTGTTTTCTATGCACTGATTTCAAGCTATATCTCAGTCTTAATCTTAATCTAGTCACACATATTTACCCCCGTCTCTCGTTTCAGTCCACTTTGCCGGATGATGTCTTTGAGAATGGTGGCTGCGGCGTGGCCGAGTGCAAGCGTCTCTCCTTCACCTTCTCCGACACCTCTGGTTCAACGCCCAGTCCCAGCCCCGCCCCGAGCTCCCACGCACAGTCCAACCCTGAGATCACAGTCACTCCTCCAGAAACAGACCCATCACCTGCACAAATCCTCCCAACACGGGAGGACTCCATAGCAGAGGAGCATTTAGAGGAGGAAGAGGAGGAGGAGTACGAAGAGGATGGGGAGACGGGCAGTAGAGGAAGTAGGGGCACTAGTGCCAGCCTCGCCAGCGATGAAGCCGAGGTGGCGGAGGACTCTGAGTGGGAGCGAACAGAGTCCCAACGAAATTCTGGCTCCATCTGTGGTTCGGCTGCCCAATTTCTCTGTTCCGACGGCCAGCTGTCCACAGTGGCTCCAGAGGACGTTTTCTTAGACCACACTGATGAACTGAAACCTGTGGAACTGGACACAGAGGAGGCGGGCAGCCTGACTAGGCAGCTTGTGAAAAGGCTGACTTCTTCGGAAATTGTGCCGCCAAGTGGGAGCTCCACGGAGGGAGGAGGAAGCCTGAGTTGGGCTGGAGAGGGAAGCAGGGCTTTCCTAGAGAGCAGCCTTGAAGAGGCCATCCACAGCCTGCTGATGAGGCTGGAGTCTCTAACTCACCGCTGCCGAGAGCTGCAGGACCTGGAGCAGGAAGTGATGCGTCTGGAGGATCTGCTCAAGGTGACTAAACCCGTCTACCTTTCTATTTTATACGTGTACAAGATCTGGGAATCAGGGAATGTTACTTTTTTGTTTTTTTATATATATTTGTTTATTTTTACTTACTTACTATTTTTGTAGTACATTACATAATCCTTAAATCCTTCTCATCACATATTCCATACTCAAAGTACTCTGAAGTTCCTCACCAGTCGAGCAAAGATTGACTTTTAAAAAGATGACTAAATATGAGAACTGAACTAAATGCATCATCTTGTTACAAACATCAACAGACTTACTACTGTACACAGGGCTTTTATTTTGAAGACGCTGTCCTCTGTCTTTAAATCTGCATCTGATATAGTCGAGTCTTAAAATATATATATATATATATATATATATATATATAAAAGTATATTCAGTGTAATGTACTCTCTGATTAAGATAAAAAAAATTAAAATTAGTACTGACTCCATAAATCAGAGTCAGAGTACAACTCCTGTCCTGTGTTTTTAATCTCTAAATTAATGCTCATCACAGAACTACATTAATACCAAAGGTGAAGAACCTAAACCTAAAAATTGACAGTGAGTTTGCCGTGATTCACCTGTCAAAACAAAATCTGGAACCATTTTAGCTACAGGGAGTGGACTGTGGCAGCTTAACTTCTCCAGGACTTGTTATTATTTATTAACCTACCATCTCCTGTAACTGCGTCTCACCACCCTTTGTCTCCACAGTGTCGACTCCCAGGTCACAGGAGTCGATCGTCCAGCCTCAGTCTGACAGTGGAGAGTGCCCTGGAGAGCTTTGACTTCCTCAACACCTCTGACTTCGATGACGAAGACACTGGAGATGACAACACCGTCCTCAACATCCAACAGAGGTCTCCGCTTTTTGATACAGATGGAGAAAGGATCGGGTGAGTGGATGGAGACGGACGGAGGCACTTTCTGTTGGCTGACATCGACACTAAGTACATTTTGTTATTGTATCACCACAGTAAGAGCTGAAGTAGGTGCAGTAGGTACTTGGTGCAGGTTCTTGGTATTTGGTTTCAAGTCAGTTTAGCTATTGATTCATGAAAGAAAGGGTTTTAAAGGGTTTCTTTCAATCTGTTAAACAGTAAATCTGCATTGTCAAGCATCATGGCAGCACTTGACTGAAAGACATTTTACTCTAAGTACAGTAGATTACTGTTCTGTGTGATGCTGCTGCCACTTGGGGTTGACTCGTGGTATTTACCTGCCTTAGGGGCCAGCATCCAGAAGCCAGAGGACACCTGAGCGAAGCCCTGACAGAGGACACCGGGGTGGGAAACAGTGTGGCAGGAAGCCCCCTTCCTCTTACCACTGGAAACGAGAACCTGGACGTGGCAATCGTCATTCACCTGCAGTACTGTAATCACCTCATACAGGTGGAGCTCCTTATCACATCTGGAATCATGTTGTAGTGCATAAATAATAAAGGAATAGTTACAGTTGACATTAATTCTGTTTGTCTTACCAGCAGCTTACTGGAACAAACATCTCACATGCCTTTTGTTTCTTCCTGTAATGGTAGATGTTGACCAGTGGGGTGGGTGTGTGGCAGCGTCGCAGTCTTCTTCTTAAACTGTCCGGACAGACTCAGCTGTTAGAGGAGCTAGCAGAGATCAGTGTGGACAGACTTGGAGCAATTACCTCTGCTGCTGATGGTAGGTACCAACAAGTGGGGTGTTATGTGGGTTTCCAGTCCAGCGTTGTATCTCAAGAGTAATCCCTCTTCAGAGCAGTTGGTTATTATTAAGTGTTGTATGAAAAGATCTGACCACAGAACCAAAAGGACTTTCTGGTTTAAGGGGTTTGTAGCGTCTGACCTTGTGTTTTGGACCTATTCTCTCAGTCTTGCCGGGCCTTGCTGAGCGCCCGCAGCTGATGACTCTGTGGTCAGAGTGCAGCGGGTCTGCAGGACTTTTCCACACCACACTGGACAGAGTGTTCAAACACATGAACCAGCGCTACACAGCAGTGCTGCAGGAGAGACACCCACAAGACGCCAACACAGGTTGGATCATCTCGGTTTTCTTTCTGCAAACAAGCCAGAGGTTACACTTAACATTTCATCTGTTTTTGTTTGCAACGCAGTCTTGTTTCTGTTTTTAATTACTGTTAGGTTTCTACTGGGTCACTCATTTGGTTTGCAAATCAGTTTTAAATTAGTTCCTTAGGGAAAATGAGATCATTATAGTTGCTGAAAACATAATGTGGATGAAGAACATTAAGAACTGAAATTTAACAGACATGATATTCATTTAAGTGGTGGAATGTAACTAAGTACATTTATATTTAAAATGCAAGGTATTTGTACCCCACGTGATTTACATTTTATGAAACTTTACTACTCCACTCCATCTCGCTGCTCTCAAATAAAGCATCTGAATACATCTTCCACCACTGATTATTTTAAAGTATTGTTATATATTAATTAGATCTTCACAATGCAAATGTAGTTTCCATTGGCAAGTTTTCTCTGACCACAGATTTCTTTCTCTTCTCTCCAGTGATCGGGGTTGTTGTGGGTGAGTTGGTGGACAGGGACGATCTGGTGGCAGCACACAATCCTCCTGTCGCTGCGCTCTCCCAGGACGTCCTCACTGTGTTTCAGTTCCACAGCTACATCTTACAACATGAAGTACAGGACATGGAGACACACCTGCTGCATCTGGCCAGAGAGGGTGAGCAAAACGGGGGACAACACTTAATTAATATTGACTCCAGTTAATTAACTCCAATTTTGATTGCTTTTTAAGCAAGTTAAACACTGATAAATTCCTCATGTCATTAGTATAGATAATTGCATGACACTCCTTTTTTATGTTTAAATATTGACCTTTGTCTGTGTCTGTGTTGTAGATGTGTTTGCAGAGGCTCTGTGCAGTGGGGATTATTCTCGCTGTCTAGCAGAGCTTGAGCACGTGCCTGTGTCGTCCCTGTGGCCTAGAAACAGCACCCTGAGGGCCCTGGCCTCTCTGCTAACTGCAGAGGACCCTCAGGTCAACAAGGCAGCAGCAGACTACCTCTCTTCAGGAGCATCACGCAGCCACTTCAAGACCAGGGTGAGTAGTGCTAAAGAGACTGTTTGCGAGACCCATGTGTAAACAACATTTTAAATAGCTTTGACAGATGCCGCAAGCCATGTTTGAATGTCTGTGTGTGTCTACAGGCTGTGGAGTGCTACACCCAGGCGCTGTCAGAGGCTGGAGGTCAGAGCCAGAGGGCTGCCTGTTCAGCTCTCAGCTGTCTGCAGGTCAGTGGCCCCTTTACTGAGACAGATAGGCTTAACATGCCATATGTACGTTTAAAGAGCTGTTGTCCACTGTTAACATTCCTCCTATTTCCTGGCCATGAAGAGATCTCTCCCCAGCCTGACTTTAGTGTAAGAGGTGGAGTAGAAAACATGCAGTCCTTGTTCTGTGCAAAAAATGCATTCTTAAGTTCACAGTGGAGTGATACTTCCTGGTAGTTGCATGTAGTTTGTAGCCAGGACACAACACCAGCAATAAATCTACTCCCAACTGCCAGGACGAAGATAACCACTTGATTTGGTTATTGAGACTGTTTCAAGTTAGCTGCAGCTGAACTTTAACATGTGTTCTTGCACACTGTAAGACAGTATGGAGGGGGGAATGATTACAGTGAACCGTTATTCTTTCAGTCAACACTACATGTGGCATATAGATATTCTATTGAGATAGACTTTAAAACTCTTACTGGGTAAAAATTGTATTTAAACATGGCATTGCTTTTTGCTACTTATTCTACAAATACTACAGATTTGAAATGTGACACTCATGAAGAATTTGTCATAAACAGTGTTTTCCTGTCCGTCTGTCTGTCTGCAGGCAGTAGAGAGTATCAGGGCGGTCGTAGCACTGTGTGATTCAGCTGATGAAGAGCTTCGCCATGTTGCCATAGAAACCCTGCTCACATTTGGTGAGTAAAATATTTTTGGAAATTATTACTCAGCGTGGCCTTTTGTTAAACTATTATTTCTGAACTGTATTTTATACATAACTGCTACACTGTACCTCACACCATAAAGCATAGATGTAAATGAATGGTTTGTACAGTATAATACAGGAATATTTAGTTTCTTCAGCCTTCTGTTTTCTTAAAGGTCCAGTGTGAAACATTTAGGAGGATCCATTGATAGATATGGAACATAATATTCATTGGTGTGTTTTAGTGTATAATCCCCTGAAAATGAAAATCTACACACGCCACGGGTCGCCTTCTATTGAGGCTGCTATTTTGAGCCGCCATAGTCTCTACAGTAGCCCAGAAGGGAAAAAAAACAAACACTGGCTCCAGATTGGGCCTTTCTCCTTCACGCTTGGAAGTGGAGGATGAAGCGAGGGAGTTGCAATCTGCAACTGCACCGCTATATGCCACTAAATCGTACACTCTAGACCTTTAAGAGCTTGTGGTGCACACTGGATTAGACTTTAAACTGGATTACTCTTAACCCTTGGACTGAAAAAGGTTATCTGTCATCAGTGTTTATAGACGACCCTTGTGTTTGTGGCAGGTGAGGAGGGGCGGCTGGCGTACGAACAGCTGGACACGGTGCCGGGGGAAATTTTCCGTCTAGGGACGCGGCGAGGAAACGCTGTCACCACTGCCTTCTGAGCCACCGTGCCACTGAAAACATCACAAATGACATCTCAGCCCAAGCTCCAAGGACAGCACTGCCCCTCAGCTTTACCCCCCACACACTGCACACCTCACAGGGCTGTTAATGACTGATCACTTTATTGATCTGCTTTTTGGCGCAGACTTCTCCACACCGCCACATTAATCCACTGTTTTTACTGATACTGCCTCCTTAAAAGGAACTAACACCAAACAAACTGTCTTAACCACAACGACACACAACCTATACCCCTCCTGCACGCACACACACTTACACTCCTTGTTCCTCCATCATCTCCACTTTCACACACACTCTCCCCACCCTCCACCCTCCCTTCCTCTCCCTGCTTTCTGAGCCAGGCAGACCGGTCAGGTTGACTTTAACTGGAGAAGTGGATTGGACACAGCCGCTGAAAGGTGCTCCAAAAGACTGTGGAAACTAGAATTTCGAGCAATGCATCTTCATATAACCTCTATCAACAAGCTATTCACTGCACACAACACTTGTATCACTTACTCACTGATTAATTATCATCTTGATTGTTACAGTCAGTTGTGTTGCGCAATATACTAATTATGATCTTTGTATAATCACTGTTTATCACATGTTTTAGTTGGTGGTTTTGCATTAGGAAATGTTTTCTGGCGCTTTCAGAAGATTTGCACTCCTTGTAAGGCATGTAAATATGGCATATTTTACACAGCCGGTGTAATATATGTGCTTGTATTTAAAATATATTTTTAAGTTCCGTTTTTCTAGTACGTTCCATTTTGAGTTTCAGGGATTCTTGTATGGTTGAAAGATGTGTGTTTTGTGGCAGGGAGGACCATTAATAAATTGAGAATGGCTTCTAGGAGGAAGTGATGTGGTTTAAAAGCTCTAGTTTAACAGCAGTTTACAGTCTTGAATAGATTTTGACCTCAGCTATCTATCACAGGAGGAACAGGAAAAACTGAAGGGCAGAGGTGAAACAGGTCAGCACAGTGCCCAAGGTTCACTCACTCAGCAGTTTATATCAGAGTTTTCTCATACTTGCAGTTGAACAAGTGCAATTTTTCTGTACATACGTGACTTTTTGCACCTAGCTGACGTGAGAAGACGTTTGATAAAGTCAGCTTTGACCATTTGAGCCTTGATATGGTCGAACAGGCACGTTCCACAGATACACTCTTTTGTAAATGTATTTTTCCTACCAGGTACGGAGCCATTCGAGGGCAATAAATGTGGTATAGGATCGTACACTTTCTCAATAAATGTACAGAGAGGAGCTGAGTAAAGGTGTAGCCTCAGTTTGGGCTAACTGCACATTTATACATTATGTGAGCTAATGGCAGGATTAGAAATTAGGCTTTTTTTTTTATGAGAAGCTGCAGAATGAAGTGTTCTGTTTGGTATGTTTTGGGTATGTTTAATTTCCCTGCAACCTAACTGTAATGTGGGGGAAACTGACCCGAGATAGGCGCCTAATACCAACTTTTCTCATTGTAACTGTACTACTGAGTCTTGTGCTAGTGCACAGTGACAAAGCTCACATTTGTTCACACATCTTATTTATTATTTACTCCTTGTAATTCTAATATTCTTTGGAGTTATACTGTAATAGTGCAGATGGCATTGTTATGTAAATTAATTGTATATTTATGTTCTATTTTGGAGCAGGTCTGGTATTTGAAATATTGTTTATCATATAAAAAGGCCTTCATGTTATGTTTATCCATGCAAATGATTTCATGCTTAACTTTAATTGGAGTTTATTTTGAATGAATTATATTAGATAAATTATTATTTTGGAGAATATTAAGATTTGCTAATAGTATTATAGATTTTGTTTCCCTAAAAGGTCCCAATGGGACATTATATATTAGAAATTTTACTTTATTACTTAGATTTACTGTAACCAAAGGAAAAATTAATTTTAAAATGGTCTTTTAATAAGAGTTCATGATTTATTAAAGAGAATGTATGTAACACAGTGTTTGCATTTTGGCCAGAATACTCACTTATCTTTAAAGCACAACTTAAAAATAAGACAAACCCTTAATATATGAATCTTATCATTTGGTTCTAACTGCACAGTCCAAAAGCCATATTGATTAAAAACCAGTAGTAATATTTTTATGAAATGTATTTTCCTTTTTGTATTGTAATCTGTAAATGTGTGAAGTTGTTACTAAAAGCTAAAGATGGCTTAGGTTTTTTTTCTATACATCCTTTGCAAAACATGGTCCATATTTTAAGTAACGGTTACTTTTATTTCTTCTGAGATGTGAATAGCATTACAGTATTTTGGTAAAGTATCTAATTCACCCACTCATTCAGTGTTTGTTATTTTATTTCCCTGAGTGAGCTACTTTCTTTTTACACACTTGTAGCTTACCAGTGTTAACTCAAGTTGATTTGTTGGCTGTTGGATTCCTAATCACTAACTACAAGTTGTCACAATCTTGAATTATTTAGAGAGTGGTTTTAAGAATATCTTTGCTGAAATTGATCTTTATCCATTTCTGTGGTCAATAGCTTCTGTACTGATCCATTTAGTTGCATACTACTCTTTCCATTGTCAGTATTTCCTCTGTTCATCAAAAGTTGCAATAAAAGTTTATTTTTGCATAATTAAATCTACAAAATGTGGGATGTGTTTAACTAAGTCAAGACTGTCTTTGTTAGCATTGTCTTTGTGGATTGGATTTTTACATATATACAGATTACTGAATACTTTAGTATCCTGTATCTGGATCCCTGAAGGGAGTAGGAAACTGAACAGTGATCAGGGTCAAGAGGACTGGAAAATACCTGACACCACAATATTGAACTTCTGGTAGTTTCCTCAGCAAAAAACAGTTCAGATTGAGATATTGCATACAAGCTGTCAAAGTTAAATTTTTATATATAGAGTAGCATAAAACAAATATTTAGGTACAATTTGTTTAATTCCAGTACAGTAGTTGAGTTTTCACCACTGCTTGTCCAATAACCTTTGATCACTGAGGGTCAGTCAGCAGGTCATTTAAACCTGAACTAACTAAATGCTCAACTATGTTCAGTTAGTTGCCAACTGAATCTGCCATTTGGAGCTGAGCAGGTAGTGCACAGTGTGCTTTACACCTTTTAAATACAGCTGCCTGCTGTCAACAAAATGACAGAATGGTGAGTGAACCAAAATAAAGCACTGAGGGCCAGATGCAGTTACAGGTAACAAGTCCCAGACACATCACTACAAATGACCCCCCTTCACATTTGAAGTATTACAGAGGCATTAAGCTATATTTGAAGAACAGGACCCAGGAGGAGTGCTGCTCAGAATCTACATGCTGGAGGCACAGCAACTACTCTTCAAGGGCATGGTAGGAACAGTCAGACCCATATGCATAACAATTCAAAGTAAGATTTTTTTTAAAAAGTGTTTATTTTACAGATGCTTTATGTACATAATATTGTCATAAGTACAGTTTTACAGTGTAAACCAAAACACTTGTGGCCTAGAGCATTGCCCACAACTGGCAGTGAATCTAGCAACATCAAGACTTTTCACAGCACACACTTTGACCTTTAACAGCAAGGCAAGCACAGGGGTCATTTTCCTGTTAACTGGAAGCAAACTAAAGAAAGCAGCTGGCTGATAGTTTAGCCTTCAAATAATCAGATTTTAAAAATAAAAAAAACCTAAGCTGCAAGTCACTGTACAGACTGGTGACAAGGATGCTGGGCCCTGTTCCCACCATCAATCTGATCTATAAGAGCGTCGCAGTACACCATGACAGTGAGCCAGCATGCACAATACCAGGCCCCTTAAACTGGAGTGACTAAAAATAAATTCAGCCACAATTTTGTCATCAATGCCTGTTCTCCTACATAGACATGTCAAAATGCCTGCTGTGCCAAAGTCTTACACATGCTTAGTTTTAATGGCCTCTTTACTTGAAGATGAACTGACAAAAGCAAAAATAATTTCAAAAAGAAACCAGCCCGTCTGTTCAAGGTTTAAAAATATAAAATTACAGGCCATAAACAAGTACATAAATTATTTTGAAAAGCCCATTTAAAGGGATGCCACTTGTTGCTGCCAAAATCTGCTGACCTGCTTAAGCAAATCAAAGTCCCATGACAGACAGATTTGTGTCAATCTTGCTCTCCTGAGGGTCCAACTTCATCGTCTGAGGCCTCTTCTTCATGTTCTGAGGCCTCTTCTTCATGCGTATTGCACTGACTGTAATCTGAGTCCTCATCCTCACTCTGCTCTTCCACTTCACTGTCATCATCATCATCATCACACATCAAGGGCCATTTCTCTCAGTTGCTCCAGATTGTCTGGGCCCTTCCCAGTCAGTCTCTTAAAAAAAAAAAAAAAAAAAAAAAAAGCACATTAAGTTTGCTCATGTATCCAGAGAGATCCCGCAGGGTAGTCCACTTTGTTTCAAGTTTACTTAACAGACTGTAATAGCAGTGTGCCTACCTCAATCATATCAGCCATGTACTGTACGTGTTGTGCCAGCTCATGCAGCTCTTCATTTTCACACTTGAGCTTTGTTATCCGTTCGTCTTTGGACTCAATGTCCTTGTGCAACTGGTTTAAAGAGAGAAACATTATACATGACAAACCAAGTTTAAAAAGGCAGACAAAAGCAGAACCATTGCACAGTGTCTCTGCACGATTGCTGAATAATCAAAATTGCAATATGGCCAAGTGTATCCAAATGGCAGAAGCATTAAGCTTGATAAAAGTTTGAGACAAAACAGCATTATAATGAAGTACTGCAGAGGAAAACTGGCCTACAAATCTTGTTTCTACAAATGTAAGAACATATGTTCATGGTACAGAGCCCAACAAATATCATGGTTTAGTTTTTTCAGGGCAAGTGAAAATTGTGATGAAAAAAATAAAGCATCTGACAAATACTATAATCAAAATAAAGTTCCAAACAAGTGTTTAAATATTACAGGAATGGCACCTTAGGATAGTTTTCATAGAGGCAAATAAGTATATTTTAGGTGTAGAGTTAACAAATTCACTGCCAGCTGGACTGGGGCCAACTAAGGTTGACTCAGTCAGTGGGAGCGTGGGAACAGCTCAATTGGCAGCTAAACATTAGCCATCTCTTAGTGATTAACTCACCTTCTCATTCTCCTGTAGAACATTGTACAAGGCCTTCCGACGCTCCTCGGCTACCTCTTTCCAGTAGGTGGAAGGAGGAGTTTCTACAACAGCAATGATTCAAGATAAATGCAAAATTCCTGTCTTGACTCTACAATTTGTCATTCATCATGAATCTCTACCTACCTTTGACCATAAGTTCATAAGCTTCATTGGACATGCCATCTGACGTACATTGAGTTTCTTCTGTTTGTGTGGCTTTAACTTCTACCTTCACCCTCTTTGGACCCCTAGTTTGTTCTGCGCTCCATTGTTTCCGTTTGGGAACGACCTTACCCATCTAAAAAGAGGAAACTCATTTAGAGGCTTTTATACTTGTTCTGTTAGTGAACAATTTTAAACAGTTTTGATCTAATGTAAACATTGAAAAGACGCCCAAATCAAATGACTTTCACAAGCCACTGCCTACCTGAGCTGACCTTCCCAAATCTTTGTTGATAGCTGAGGGTTGGAGAACTTGCAGGGTTTGCCTGGGGGGTCCCATTGCCTTTTGTGATGGTGTGAAAAAGCTCTGGAAGACAAAAAGTGTCACCTTATAGCTGAGAAGATTACAAATGAGCAATACAAGAATGGTAAACAAAAGGCAAGATCCTAACCCCCTTCCAAGGTGAGTCTTGAAAAACTCTTGAGTCACATGGGAACCTAACATGACCGGTGTTCTCATTTTCAAAGCCTCTATTCATCAGGGCTTAGCATCACTTTGCACGCTTTACTTTAGTTACACTGTCACCATGGGAGAGGGCATAAGTGAAGTGGCTCAACAGCACTGCTGCCATGTGCAACAGGCCCACAGGTGTGGGAACAGGGGCAGAGCATAAATTCTTTCAGCCGTGGGAAAGTTTCTCCTCCGGGCTCATTACAGAGCAGACAACAAGCCAAGCTGGTTAATGTTTGGCCACAGCTTCACAACACTGCTAGTGTGTTTCAGGTCTAATTTTGAGTTGTGGTAGAGACCATGTCTGAAAGTACTTGAGGTACAGCCATGTAAATCATAACACTGGCAATTTAGATTAAAAAAAAATTAAGATCTGCCATAATGTGCAACATATTTAAATAGTTAGGACATTAAATTGGTATTAATGACAGTAGAGTCACCCTCACTTCAGTCCAAACAATGCAGTTAAATAGTCTCTTGCCACTCAATACAATACTGACAGAGAAGTCTTTTTATTGTCATTTGACAGCTGCCTGCTCAGATTGGCAGACCTTTTAACATAGAAGGAAGCTTATAATTAAAAAAAAAAAAAAAAAAAAAAAAAAAGCCTTAAGAGTAATTCTTGGGCACACTTTGAGAAAGAAAAGGGGCAAAAAAAAAAAAAAAAAAAAACACACGTCAGGAGTGATTTCTTCCTGATAATTTTGCCTTTTAAAATGGTATCTTTCTTTAATTGTTACCGGCTGTTAATTAAGTCAAATGGCCTGTATGCTGAGATCATCCACACAATGTCAAGCTATCGTGATAATATCTTACCCCTTAAATGAATACCAGCCCTAAATGTCAACATTAACCATTGAATACTAATCTGAAGGCACACAAATGACTCACCTTTATATTTTCATCAGACATCTGTTGACTGTGTTTAAGCTTTGCACCGAAACTCATTTTCTCTCTCAAGATACCTAAAAGAGGAAATTAACATAACGTCACTATTCTTTAAAGCCTTTTTTTTTGTTTTTTAAAAAAATTTTTTTTTTTTTTTTAATTTTTTTATTAAAATATTTTTTTTTTTATTTTTTTTTTCCCCTCCGTCATTAAAAAAAAACCACTTTTTTTTTTTTTTTTTTTTTCTTTTTGAGTAAAAATAAAAAAAAAAATTATTTTTTTTTTTTTTTATTGTTTTTTTTTTTTTATTTTTTTTTTTTTTTAAAAAAATTTTTTTTTTTTTTTATTAATTTTTTTTTTTTTTTTTTTTTTTCCCTTCTCCAATAATAAAAAAAAAAATATATATTAAATTTTTTTTTTTTTTTATTTTTTAAAATTTAAAAAAAAAAATTTTTTTTTTTTTCCCCCAAGGGGCACACTTTACCATATTTGAGGCATACTGAAAAATAATATTGCCAATATTTCATGGCTATGGATGATGTAATTTGATAAAAAATTTAAAAATAACAATAAAACAGCTTTTACCAAGTGGCATATTTTGACCACATTTGAGCTACTGTAAAAACAAGAAGTCAATAGTTTAGTGTCGTTAGATTTACTTCAACACTAAATTGTAACCATAATAATGTGACTTTAGCAATTTGGAGAAATTTAACGTTAAAAGTCCTTTTCGTTACCTCCAGTAGGAACCACCGTGGTATATCTACTTCTACAAACACACCAACTAAACGTTAAAACAAGGTAATTTTTCACCATATTTGAGCTACTGTAAAATAATATTGCTCAATATTTCATGGCTAAGGATGGTATATCTGACTTCTACACATCTAAGACTACACATATACTCAATATCAAGCACTTTTATGGCTAATTTGGAGAAATTCAACAATAAAGGTATCTAACTGTACTTCCAATGAGCAGCAGATTTGAGATAATTTAATATAATATTAAAAGCTCAATATTTCAACGCTATAGTGACTTACCGTTGACTAAGACAACACGTCGAACACTACATATACACTATTTTTTAATATTAAACCCTTTTTTTGCAGCAATTTGGAGAAATGCAACAATAAATGTCCTTATTTGTACCTCCAAAAATCTAGGGGGGTATTTCACCATATTTGAGCTACTGTAAAATAATTTTGTTAAATTTTTTTTGGTTATGGATGGTATATCTGACTTCTACACATCTAACACTACACACATACTCAATATCAAGCATTTTAAAAAAAAAAAACCTTTTTTTTCCCCCCAAGGGCACCTTTCCCTTTTTTGGTACTTTAAAATATTTTTCAATATTTCATGGTTGGTGGTATATCTGACTTCTACTGTTGTAATTTGGTGAAATTTTTTTATTAAAATTCTTTTTTTTTTCTTCAAGGGGCCCTTTTTTTTATTTTTGTTCTTTTATAATATTTTTTTTTATTATTTTTTGGTTTTGGAGGGTATATCTGACTTCTACACATCTTAGACTACACACACACTCAATATCAAGCACTTTTACTGCAGCAATTTGGAGAAATTTAAGAACAAAAGTCCATATTTGTACCTCCAAGTGGCATATTTCACCATATTTGAGCTACTGTAAAATAATATTGCTCAATATTTCATGGCTATGGATGATGTACCTGACTTAACTACACATCTAAGACTACACACACACTCAATATCAAGCATTTTTACTGTAGCAATTTGGAGAAATTCAGCAATAAAAGTCTTTTTTTTTACCTCCAAGTGGCACACTTTACCATATTTGAGCTACTGTAAAAACATATTGCTCAATATTTCATGGGGGAGGGGGGTGTTTTTTTTTTCTGCACTTCTACGACTACACACACACTCAATATCAAGCACTTTTACTGCAGCAATTTGGAGAAATTCAACAATAAATGTCCTTATTTGTACCTCCAAGTGGCACATTTCACCCTATTTGAGCTACTGTAAAATAATATTGCTCAATATTTCATGGCTATGGATGGTATATCTGACTTCTACACATCTAACACTACACATATACTCAATATCAAGCACTTTTACTGCAGCAATTTGGAGAAATTCAACAATAAAAGTCCATATGTTTACCTCCAAGTGGCATATTTGACCACATTTGAGCTAGTGTAAAATAATATTGCTCAATATTTCATGGCTATGGATGGTATATCTGACTTCTACACATCTAACACTACACACATACTCAATATCAAGCACTTTTACTGTAGCAATTTGGAGAAATTCAACAATAAAGGTACTTTTTTTTCGTCAAAGTGGCACATTTGACCATATTTGAGCTACTGTAAAATAATATTGCTCAATATTTCATCGCTATGGATGGTGTACTTGACTTCTACACATCTAAGACTACACACACACACAATATCAAGCATTTTTACTGTACCAATTTGGAGAAATCTAAGAACAAATGTCCATATTTGTACCTCCAAGTGGCACATTTCACCCTATTTGAACTACTGTAAAATAATATTGCTCAATATTTCATGGCTATGGATGGTATATCTGACTTCTACACATCTAACACTAAACATATACTCAATATCAAGCACTTTTACTGCAGCAATTTGGAGAAATTTAAAAAACAAAGTCCATAGGGGTACCTCCAAGTGGCATATTTGACCACATTTGAGCTACTGTAAAATAATATTCTTCAATATTTCATGGCTATGGATGGTGTACTTTATTTCTACATATAAAACAAAACCCCCACTCCTTAAAAAATCCCTTTTTTCAGCAATTAGGAGAAAAAATACAATTTACACCTCAACTACACACACCCTCAATTTCAAGCCCTTTTACTGCAGCAATTTGGAGAAATTCAACAATAAATGTCCTTATTTTAACGTCAAAGTGGCACATTTCACCATATTTGAGCTACTGTAAAATAATATTCTTCAATATTTCATGGCTATTGATGATGTACTTGACTTCTACACATCTAAGACTACACACACACTCAATATCAAGCACTTTTACTGTACCAATTTGGAGAAATCTAAGGACAAAAGTCTATGTGTCCCTCAAATGGCATATTTGACTACTGTAAAATTATTTTGCTCAATATTTCATGGCTATGGATGGTGTGCTTGACTTCTACACATCTAAGACTACACACACACTCAATATCAAGCATTTTTACTGTAGCAATTTTACGGAGAAATTCAAAAAAAAAATTATTTTTTTTTTTTTTCTAATTGTAGTTTTTCACTACATTTGAGCTACTGTAAAATAATATTGCTCAATATTTCATGGCTATGGATGGTGTATTTGACTTCTACACATCTTACACCTACACAGACACTCAATATCAAGCACTTTGAGAATACTGCAGCAATTTGGAGAAATCAACAATAAAAGTCCATATGTATACCTCCAAGTGGCACATTTGACCACATTTGAGCTACTGTAAAATAATATTGCTCAATATTTCATGGCTATGAATGGTATATTTGACTTCTGCACATGTAAGACTACACACATACTCAATATCAAGCACTTTTACTGCAGCAATTTGGAGAAATTCAACAATAAAAGTCCCATAGTTCTATCTACAGATCTAGATATATAGAGCATATTTTCCCATGTTTGAACTACTGTAAAAACACATTGCTCAATATTTCCTGGCCGATATACTGTATACTGTATCTGTATTTTATACTTTCCAAGAGTAAAATGTTTTTCGATAAATACATAACTTTAGAAAGTAACTTTTATTTATATAGTTGAGTATGTCTTGCAGATATCGTTAATAAATTACATTTATTTTTAAGCCATCCTATCAAAGATGGGCTAATTATAAAAGGTTTGGATAGACCTGTAATGATTTTTAACTTCAAGTGGAGCGACAGATCTTGGTGTTTTTTCACACCTACACGAGAAATCCCCCATAATACCTTGAGACAGGTTGTTGTTGGAGAAGACATCACACAAACAGAGTGATACGTCCTAACGGATAATTTACTGACCTGCTTGTGTATTACACGTTTATTACATGAAAATGCCTGGAAAGAGCGGGTAAGTATTGCTTTACTAATTATTTTATTTTATTTTATGAAGAAACTCTGAATTTGAACTTTTTACTTAGCTTTTAAATTGCTTAAACTCTGCAAGGTCATCGACGTCCTTGTCAGACATTGTTTTCTTTATGAGGCCGAAGCGTAGTTTATAATGTAATGATATAATATTGAAATATAAGACATAAGGCAACCACTAGGATCAAGAATGTAATGCTTACTTGTCGGTAGACGCTACATAACTTTGGGAAATGATGCCACATTGTAATGATGAACAAACATGCATGGCCATTGTCAAAGGTCCTTTGACTTCTTACCTTAAAATAACAAATTGGTTCTGTGGCTATCCACCACTCTCATCTTTGTTGATATGACCATTTCACACTAATTAAATGCATTAAACAGCATTGAATTAGCGTTACATACTACGGGGCATAACTGTGATGAAGTTAGGGCCCGTATAGTATTTAATTCATTTAGGCCAATTAATGTTATTTTTCAATGTTTTTAAAGTATAACTTTGCTTTAAAAAATGGCCCATTGTGAACCTCAACAGTAAAAACAGTTTGTTGACATTCAGATGATATATGTTTTTCTGAAAAATTAAAAATACTCTATGAATTTCCTTAAAACAAGTGTGACTATATACATTTCCAAATGTAGTCTTAGATGTGTAGAAGTCAAGTACACCATCTATAGCCATGAAATATTGAGCAATATTATTTTACAGTAGCTCAAATATGCCATTTGGAGGTACACATATGGACTTTTGTTCTTAGATTTCTCCAAATTGGTACAGTAAAAGTGCTTGATATTGAGTGTGTGTGTAGTCTTAGATGTGTAGAAGTCAAGTACACCATCCATAGCCATGAAATATTGAGCAATATTATTTTACAGTAGCTCAAGTATTGTGAAATATGCCACTTGGACGTACAAATATGGACTTTTGTTCTTAAATTTCTCCAAATTTGTACAGTAAAAGTGCTTGATATTGAGTGTGTGTGTAGTCTAAGATGTGTAGAAGTCAAGTACACCATCCATAGCCATGAAATATTGAGCAATATTATTTTACAGTAGCTCAAATATGGTCAAATGTGCCACTTTGACGTAAAAATAAGGACATTTATTGTTGAATTTCTCCAAATTGCTGCAGTAAAAGTGTTTGATATTGAGTATATGTGTAGTGTTAGATGTGTAGAAGTCAGATATACCATCCATAGCCATGAAATATTGAGCAATATTATTTTACAGTAGCTCAAATGTGAAATGTGCCACTGGTGAAATGCGCCACTTGAGGTACAAATATGGACATTTATTCTTAGGTTTCTCCAAATTGGTACAGTAAAAATGCTTGATATTGAGTGTGTGTGTAGTCTTAGATGTGTAGAAGTCAAGTACATCATGCATAGCGATGAAATATTGAGCAATATTATTTTACAGTAGCTCAAATATGGTCAAATGTGCCACTTTGACGTAAAAAATAAGGACATTTATTGTTGAATTTCTCCAAATTGCTGCAGTAAAAGTGTTTGATATTGAGGATATATGTGTAGTGTTAGATGTGTAGAAGTCAGATATACCATCCATAGTCATGAAATATTGAGCAATATTATTTTACAGTAGCTCAAATATAGTGAAATGTGCCACTTGGAGGTAAAAATAAGTACCTTTATTGTTGAATTTCTCCAAATTGCTGCAGTAAAAGTGCTTGATATTTAAGTATTGTGTAGTGTTAGATGTGTATAAGTCAGATATACCATCCAATAGCCATGAAATATTGAGCAATATTATTTTACAGTAGCTCAAATATGGTGCAAATGTGCCACTTGGAAGTACAAATAAGGACATTTATTGTTGAATTTCTCCAAATTGCTGCAGTAAAAGTGCTTGATATTAAGTGTGTGTGTAGTCGTAGATGTGCAGATGTCAGATATACCATCCTTTTTTTTTTTTAGTACCCCATAGCCATGAAATATTGAGCAATATTATTTTACAGTAGCTCAAATATGGTGAAATGTGCCACTATAGATGGCAAGGTAAAAATATTGAGAACAGACTCAATTATTGTTGAATTTCTCCAAATTGCTACAGTAAAAATGCTTGATATTGAGTGTGTGTGTAGTCTTAGATGTGTAGAAGTCAAGTACACCATCCATAGCCATGAAATATTGAGCAATATTATTTTACAGTAGCTCAAATATGGTAAAGTGTGCCACTTGGAGGTAAAAATAAGGACTACTTTATAGTTGAATTTCTCCAAATTGCTAAAGTAAAAATGCTTGATATTGAGTGTGTGTGTAGTCTTCGATGTGTAGAAGTCAAGTACATCATCGATAGCCATGAAATATTGAGCAATATTATTTTACAGTAGCTCAAATGTGGTCAAATATGCCACTTGGAGGTACAAATATGAACTTTTGTTCTTACATTTCTCCAAATTGCTGCAGTAAAAGTGCTTGATATTGAGTATATGTGTAGTGTTAGATGTGTAGGGAAGTCAGATATACCATCCATAGCCATGAAATATTGAGCAATATCATTTTACAGTAGCTCAAATAGGTCAAATATGCCACTTGGAGGTACAAATAAGGACATTTATTGTTGCATTTCTCTTTATTTTTTTTTAAATAAAAATTAAAATTATTTAAAAAAAACCAAAAAAATATGAAGGACTTTTATAGTTGAATTTCTCCAAATTGCTACAGTAAAAATGCTTGATATTGAGTGTGTGTGTAGTCTTAGATGTGTAGAAGTCAAGTACACCATCCATAGCCATGAAATATTGAGCAATATTATTTTACAGTAGCTCAAATATGGTAAAGTGTGCCACTTGGAGGTAAAAATAAGGACTTTTATAGTTGAATTTCTCCAAATTGCTACAGTAAAAATGCTTGATATTGAGTGTGTGTGTAGTCTTCGATGTGTAGAAGTCAAGTACATCATCGATAGCCATGAAATATTGAGCAATATTATTTTACAGTAGCTCAAAGTTGTTAAATATTCCCCTTGTAGGTAAAAATATGGACTTTTATTGTTGAATTTCTCCAAATTGCTGCAGTAAAAGTGCTTGATATTGAGTATATGTGTAGTCTTAGATGTGTAGAAGTCAGATATACCATCCTTAGCCATGAAATATTGAGCAATATTATTTTAAAGTAGCTCAAATATGGGGAAATATGCCACTTGGAGGTACAAATATGAACTTTTGTTCTTACATTTCTCCAAATTGCTGCAGTAAAAGTTTTTTATTTTGGGGATTTGTGGAGTGTTAGATGTGGAGAAGTCAGATATACCATCCATAGCCATGAAATATTGTTGAGCAATATTATTTTACAGTAGCTCAAATATGGTGAAATGTGCCACTTGGAGGTAAAAATAAGGACTTTTATTGTTGAATTTCTCCAAATTGCTGCAGTAAAAGTGCTTGATATTTATGTATATGTGTAGTGTTAGATGTGCAGAAGTACAGATATACCATCCATAGCCATGAAATATTGAGCAATATTATTTTACAGTAGTTCAAATAGGGTGAAATGTGCCACTTGGAGGTAGGCACAAATATGGACATTTGTTCTTAGATTTCTCCAAATTGGTACAGTAAAAATGCTTGATATTGAGTGTGTGTGGAGTCTTAAATTAAATAAAACATCCTTTAGCCATGAAATATTGAGCAATATTATTTTACAGTAGCTCAAATATGGTGTTTTTTTTAATTAAAAAAATTATTTTTTTTTTTTTTTTTTTTCTATTTTTTGCTGTTAAAGGTGTTTTTTATTTTGTGTGTGTGTAGTGTTTGATGTGTAGAAGTCAAATATACCATCCAACCAAATATGGAAATATTTGGAGCTAATATATATTTTACAGTAGCTCAAATATAAATGTGCTTACATTTTGGAGAAAAAAATAAGACTTTTATTGTTAATTTCTCCAAATTGCTGCAGTAAAAGTGCTTGATATTGAGTACTATAGTGTGATAGTCTTCAAAAAAAGATGTGTAGAAGTCAAGTACACCATCCATAGCCATGAAATATTGAGCAATATTTTTACATCTCATTTTGGTAAATTTGGGGTAAAAAAATTTATTTTTTTTTTTTTTTTTTTTTTATTTTTTTAGGTAAAATTTTTTTTTTTTTGTTTTTGTGTAGTCTTAGATGTGTAGAAGTCAAGTACACCATCCATAGCCATGAAATATTGAGCAATATTCCATTTTAATATAAGGTAAAAATAAGGACTTTTATAATTGAATTTCTCCAAATTGCTGCAGTAAAAGTGCTTGATATTGAGTGTGTGTGTAGTCTTAGATGTGCAGAAGTCAGATATACCATCCTTAGCCATGAAATATTGAGCAATATTATTTTACAGTAGCTCAAATATGGTGAAATGTGCCACTTGGAGGTAGGAAAAATAAGGTTTTTTTTTATTTTATTTCTCCAAATTGCGGAAAAAAAAGTGTTATTGAGTGTGTGTGTGTAGTCTTAGACGTGTGGAAGTCAAATATATCATACATAGTTATGAATTATAGAGCAATATGTTTTTACAGTACCTCAAATATGCGTCAAATATGCAATCTCTGGAGGCATAAATATGGGATTTTTATTTTTACATTTATCCACACTGGCAGAGTAAAGATACTCGATACGAGGTGTTTTTTATTCATCATGGGCGCATGGAAAACTTTAATGCAACATATTTTATTTTAAATGTAGGTTCGAATTATACCTTAATAAATTCATAATACCTTTATTTAAAAAAAAAAAAAGTAAATACATTTTTTTTTTTTTTTTTTTTTTTTTTTAAAAATAATCTTTTTAATAATTTTTGGTTTTTTTTTTTTAACCAGGGGAATTGAAGTTTCGGGCTTTTTTGCCCGTTTTTATAGAGCGGACATAGTGACACATTCATTAAAAAACAGCTGGCGATATTTTGAATTAGCTCAGAAGAAGTCAATAGTTTTAATTTTTTTATATTTTAAAATTTTTTTTAAATTTAAAAATTTAATTTTAGTTTTTTAAATTTAAATTTTTTTTCCCCTCCAGAGGAACCCCGTGGTAAATTTAAAAAAACCCAAAAAAATTAAAAAAAAAGGAATTTAAGGGGGCCCCGCGGCTAATGTTAACACAAAGGTATCTAACTGTACTTAATGAGCAGCAGATGTTGAGATAATTAAATTAAATTAAAGCAATATTAACGTTAAGTCGACTTACCGTTGATAAGACAACCGTCGCGGATGAACTGCCTTTTCTTTTTACTGTGGATCTCGCGCCAGGAGCTTAAATACGCCCACTTAGTCACGTGGTAACCGCGCAACTCACGAGGAAGGATTTTTTTTTCGTGCTGTTGTTTTTTTTTTCCTCCTCGTGCGGTCACATGTCAACACACGTCACATCTTTGTAGTTGACTGTGCAGCCATTTTGGGGAGGCTGTGGATCGACAAGCTTGTCTGTGCCATTATTAGCTGCCCACAGACAAAAAAACAACAAAAAAAACACACAAAGAAACCAAACGGAAAAACGTTGGACGACACGCCGTGAAAATATGGGCCCACCGGGAGACAGAACACGATACATGTCGACTGAAAGAACGGAGGATTTCAGCTGGATTGTCGATTTATCTTGACATGGCATGCAGCAGGGCGAGTCGGAGGTTGTGACGACTGAAGAAAAGAAGAGAAAGAAAACAAGCGCAGCAAACACCTCGAAACTTCAGACGTGGAAAGGGGAGATTTCGTTTAGCCAACGTTCATTTCGCCATTCAGCGTTCAGCCGTTGGTTTGGCAGTTGGTTCCCTGGCTGATTATTTTTTGGGGGGTTTTATTTTTAGTCGTTGACAAGACGCGACTGAAGCAAATTACACCGGAGCTAAAATGCTGAGCACAAGCGAAACCAGTTAGTCGGTCAACCCCGCAGGTCTCTCGACTCTCACAGCACTGGCAGTCACATTGAACCAGACGAGAAAATGTAAACGCGTGGAAAGATGACTGTACGCTAGCTAGCCGACCACACATAGGCCTCAATTAAGCCAATCAGTCAGAAGATAAGATGTAGCTATATCGTTGGTTCACTACTAGTTAGTGTTGGAAGTGAATGCCTAGATTAGCTTGCTAGCTCACCTTAGCTAGTGTGCTAAAAATACGCCCACATCATGACTATCGGCAGTGGCAGCACCGCAGGCCGTGGGCCAAATGAGTGGCAGTAACAGTCAAGGAAATGTCAAGGTACTTTCGCAGTAGTCTTCGATGTTACCCGGTGCCAATATCTCCTGGCATCTGTATTTACCTGCCATGTTCGTCTGTATCCCCAACTCGTCTGTAAAACGCACATAACGCAGGCTCTACAGAGAAACACACACACACACACACACACACATAAAACGACAGCCATGGATGAGGGACTTTGAAATGACCCAAACAATAGAATATTTGTCTGCTTGCTAGTCTCTGTACTCCTCAATTTCACTAGCAAAAAAATATATATTGCCGGTATGGGTTTTTTACAGTAGCAGCTGTTTCTGTTGATTTCAGTAACACAGAAGAGAAAAAAAAGTTAAGTCAAATTTGAGTTGCTCTTTCATTTAGATCTCTGTTGTAAAATCCCTTGTCGATGGCAGGTTGAACAAAAGAAGTATAGAAAAGAAAAAGAAGCTAATTTGGCTTAAAAATCATGTCTTAAAAAACATGGATTTCTGAACTAGTAATAAGGAGATGTAGTCTTAGCTTGTTGGTCATTCCCCTCCTCAACACTGCCCTTTTTACAAAAATTAAAATGACTTAGTTTTGTTTCTGATTTGTTGTCCTTTTCAGTTGGTAGCTAGTGGGTAATTCACAGATCTAGCCTAGAGTCGTTTGATGCGTTGTCTCTGGAAAGGGTAGCTAGCTCCATCCTTTATCCAACGTATAAATACAAAAGCAGAGAGTGTAGCCAAAAAATATTCTGCACAAGAGAGGAAGACACTACCATCAAAATCTAACCATGGGGGACCCAACTTCACGAAGAAATCAGACAAGAAATCGACTTCGAGCTCAACTTCGGAAGAAAAGGGAATCTTTGGCTGATCAGTTTGACTTCAAGATTTATATAGCCTTCGTTTTCAAAGAAAAGGTTTGTCAGTAAAATGGAAGAATACAGTAATTCTTGACACAATCTCCTCACATGCAACATGATTCTTCAGCATTTGCTCATTACACATTAAAAGTGACTATTCATACTTACAAAATGATGACTAAAATACGTGTTTGTATCTGTTTTTGTTTTTTTTGTGTGTGTCAGAAGAAGAAGTCTGCACTTTTTGAGGTAGCTGAAGTTGTGCCAGTGATGACCAACAATTATGAAGAAAACATCCTAAGAGGTGTGCGGGATTCCAGCTACTCTCTCGAGAGTTCGATAGAACTCCTGCAAAAAGATGTTGTGCAACTACACGCCCCCCGATACCAGTCAATGCGAAGGGTGAGTCCGTGCGCCATCTCGGAACGGGGGACAGCTGAAAGAAGACGATGTTCAGTTGTGTTTTACATTTGTTCTTCCTTCTCATATTGCTGTAGGATGTGATAGGCTGCACACAGGAGATGGACTTCATCCTTTGGCCACGCAACGATATTGAGAAGATTGTCTGTCTGCTGTTCTCCAGATGGAAGGGGGCCGATGATGAACCCTTTAGGCCTGTTCAGGTCAGAACTGGGCACCTCGTCAGATTAGTCGGGCTGCAAATGCTAAAAGCCTGTTGGTATTTTGATTGTAATTACGGCTGCAACAAATTATTTTCTTCATCGATTAAATGCAGATTTCCAGAGTAATCGATAAAATGACAAAATGGTGAAAATAGTTCAAATGTCTTATTTGACCTTGGTTCTCACAATGTAGACTTTTTACATTTTGAAAAATCAAGACATTTTAGTAATGAAATAAATGTCTGAATGTAACAAAATGTTTTTCTTGGCTCACATGTCTCTACTGATTTACAGGCCAAGTTTGAATTTCATCATGGAGACTATGAGAAGCAGTGCTTGCATGCTTTGGGCCGTAAAGACAAGGCTGGAATGGTCATGAACAACCCAACTCAGTCTGTATTTCTCTTCATGGATAGACAGCACTTACAGGTGAGTCAGTGTGCGGTATTCATAACGTTTCTCATTGATAAACCTCAGGCAGCATCCTAACACATGTTATCACAAATGTCCACCTCTCCTGCAGACTCCTAAAACCAAGGCCACAGTTTTCAAGTTGTGCAGCCTCTGCCTTTACTTGCCCCAGGACCAGCTGACCTGCTGGGGTGTGGGAGACATCGAGGATCACCTCCGCCCATACATGCCTGATTAAGGCTTCCTGCTCCACTCAGCCACATAGGGAAAAGCCCTTCCCCTCCCTCCTGCCTAAGCCTTCAGAAGCAAATTGATGTACTCATCTCCACCCGTTTCCTTTTTAAAAAGATTTGAACTTGTGCTTGGATTTCTCCTTTTTTTTTTTTTTTTTTTGTTACCTACTCGTTCTCCCCTCCCTGACCTGAAGCTGATTCAGTTCCCATCCTTCTTTGTTCCCCTCACGCTCCCAATGTTCCTCCCCTTCTCTCTGCCATTTTTGGATTGGTTCCCCCATTTTTTTTTATTATTTCACTCCCTCCTCATTCCCTCTTACTCACTCATCCATTTTTTGTTTATTTGAACCTGCACGAACATTGATTTTGAGTGGTTGGTTGTTCTCTTGGAGCCGCACCGTCAACAGCACCGGTCATTGAAGGAACTCTTTATGTTGCATCAAAACAGGAACAAACAATACACAGGTCTTCACGGTGGTTCTCAGATGGACGTGTTTTTATATCCTTGTTGTCATAAGAAAGGATTGTTAAAGCTTGTTTGTAATGTCAATGGGGTTTCTAGAACAACTTTACACAATCTTTTGACCAAGGACAGGTGTGAATAGGCGTTAAAACACCTGTATAAGCAAAGAAAACAAGATGAACAATATTTGTCAAATCATATGGTGTAGGTATTGCTTCTTATAAACCGCCTTAGTTTTTTTTTTGCTGGACTTTTAAAAATGTTTTGGTGTCATTTGCTTTTCTCTGAAACATGCTAGGCAGGCCTTTGCTAAAATCTTGAGTGACTTGAAAGGCATTGTACACAAAGTTGAGACATGTTGGTTAGATGTTGAAGGTCATTGTCACCGTTCAAGACGTTCATGCACCATTCATTTAAGCTACTGAAATCTGATGTTTTATGTTCTGTTTTTATTTGGGATGTGGGTTGGTGAGAAACTGAAATGGTGACATACTTAATGTTTAACATACCTAACAAAAGTTGCTGAAAGCTAACTGATTTTTGTTTAATTTGACCTACTAAAATTAAGATGATTTGCTGCCATGCTCATCAAATTAAAATTGGGGTTTTTTTGCAGGCTTTTTTTTTGTCAAAGAATATGAAGTACATATAATTTTGCTCCTTGTTGATTCAGTGTGTTCAGTTGGAAGGGTATAAAGGCGTGTAACTTCTGGGTTTTTTCTGTTGATTCTCAAATCAATACTGCTGAGCATATCCCAATACAGTGCAAATTCTGAAAGCATAACTCTTGTCTATTTGTTTTATTGCATGTGCATGAAACAGTACCATTGATACAGTAGTATTGACAACAAATATGTAAGAGTGGTAACTAGACCGGTAATTAAGTAACCAGCTGTGAGATCGATTTGTAGCGTTGGTCAGTGGTTTTGCAAACTATTTACAGACAGAGGTCAGTTTACAGCTACTGTTGCTTTGACATTATAGTTACATATGTGATTTACAAACGGACACAGAGAGGGAGGCAGTTCAGCCGCTGCCAAGGTGTTTGGTGTGTCTTCCTTGAGCTATGAGCTTCCCTGTGGCCTTGTTGGTGAGGTCTACGGTGGCAAACGCCAGCGTCCGTCCTTGCTTCAGAACCTGAGCAGTGATTAGTACGTCCTCTCCCATCTTGGCAGCGTTCATGTATCTGTAAGACATTGACATTTGTTCCCAGTCATTTGTAGTTTATGAAGTTAATCTTCAATCTCACCTGGTAAACACACTGAAGGTCAAGGTCACCCTCGCTGGGAATAAATGGGAACACGGTGGTGGGGAGGTTAAATTCATTTTATTTTAAGACAGGCTACATTTTCAGGAGTCAAATGGTGATGAAACATTTTGTTTTGCCAGGCAGTAGAGGATATCATGTCCTCTGTCTCTTTCTGGGGCATTTAGGGGTTTTAGGAACCTGGGATGAATTTACATTTGCAACAAAAAATTACACATTGTATTTTATATGTTGATTGAAGTATTTTTAGACTCAGTATGTTCACATTTGACTTCTAGGCCAAAACAAATATTACAACAAGGTTAAATCAAAAAGTAGAAATTTTATTTTTTCTGACATCAATATTTTTAAAATTATAGCTACAACTATACCTGAAATGTGGAGGAATGAGGTCCGTGTTTTACGTTTATTCCACAATAAATGGCATTAGATATGAAGTTATGAATCCTGCATCCAGTTCAATCTGTAGTTTCACACCTTAATCTACAAGTAATTCAAAGGTTTTTGGGGAATAACTCTTTAGAAGCTTTTGAAAGTGTACACCGTTCACGGACTCACGTTATGTTCATATCCACACTGACTCCTGGTGCTCCCCTCTCGGTGTACATGATAGCCATGGTGGAGACCACATCGACCAGGGTGGCTGTCAACCCGCCGTGCAGCGTCCCTCCTCGGTTGGTGTGCTCCTCTTCCACCCGCATCTCACACACCACCTTACCCGGGCTGGCAGACAAGACGTCCATCTGTGGAAATCACACATCTCTGTGACAGTGCAACAGTGCCGACGTTATCCAGCTAACTTCTTATTTAAATAGCGCAAACCAAGTTATAAAGGTGCATACCGGAGTGTGTACCACTAGGGTTTTACATACTTCAGATTACATTCTATTGTATAAAAAAATAAATGAATTATAAACAAGTAAACAAAATACACATAACAAAACCAACAAGCAAAATAAATAAATATACACACTATATTTTACCATCTAATCCTGTATTTTTAAGAAAATTAAAGAGAGCCTTACTACAATCCCTTCCAAACTCCACGCCCGACATAACTCATATCCTATCGTGTAAAATACACCGCTCTGCATTATATTAACACCTCATAATGACGTGCTCATCATCTTCAGGAATATCACATTTATCTGAAATGCACTTTGATATTGAGTAAAGAGTTGATTTTAATCCAGTATATCCAAGTCTTAATCTTAACCATGACCACTTCCTCTCTTCTACACTTCCCTTTGTAAAAACTTCACTGTAACTGATTTCTGAATGCTGTAATAGTGTCGCCCTTTGCTATCTGTGTCACATTACTTCTGCCACGAATCTGTCACTGCTTTCCTTATTAATGATTTGGCTTCACCTTTTCCAAATGGAACTGTCATTATTTCATCATCATTTAATTTCAACGATCTCTTGGCAATCTCATCTGCTTTCTCATTTCCCTCCACACCAACAAAACTGTATATCAGTTCCACCTCTTTTTTTCCTCAACAGTATCCTATTAATCTCCAACAATAAATCATCTCTTACTGTTTCCTTTGAGTTCAAACTATTAAGAGCTGCAGTGGAGTCTGAACAAATGACAACTCTCTCCGGCCTTACCTCTTCTATCCATTGTAATCCTAAAATGATTGCAGTTATTTCTGATGTAAACACAGATAATCTATCATTAAGTCTTGTGCATATCTTTACATCAAACTCAGGTATGTATACCCCGGTTCCTACACGTCCACTTCCGGGATCTTTGGATCTATCAGTAAATATTGTTAAGTAATTGTAATAATTCCTCTTTACATAATCTTGAACCAAATATCTAATATCCACCTTATTTTCAACCCATTCTCTCTTCTGCTCCACAAGTTTTAAGTTCACTTTTGGTACTGGAACTATCCATCGATTTGGTATTTGGTCCATACTCTAACCTATTTAACCCATATTCTTCTACAATTGTATTAATGTTCCAACCAAGTCCTTTACATTTTCATTATTTTGAATATTCCCAATAATCACACAGCACCTCTGTTGCAGGTTGTTCCTTTCCAGATCCCTTTAACTTAACCCAATATACCAACGACAACTTTGAACGTCTTAACACTAATAGTAGTTCCTCAGTTCAGACCATTTTCAAGTGGTGATCCATCACTATCTCTTCTCTTTGTCACATCAGTATTTACTTTTAAAATGTCATCTTTTCTTTGTTTGTGTTTTTTTGTCTAAAAGACTTCCACTATGTACACTTGCACATTTCTTACCCAGTAATTCAGCTTTCTCTTTATTTGTAGTTGCCAGATATTCTCCATCTATTAGCACTGGGACTTTAACAGAGTTTCTTTTCCATCATTGACCAAATATCACAACAATTTTATTTCTCTACCAATTGTCTCCAAGCACTGTTCTTGAATGACTTCATTATTTTCCATGCTATAAGCTCTCCTCCTTTCACTGATCTCATCCATAGTTATTACCATTGATACATAATAAATAAGACCTCTAAGCTTTGCTGCATCCACTGGAATATGACCACTGATCTTTTCTCCATGCAGTGTTTTCACTCTGAGAGACTTTTCTCTTTGCCACGACATACTATCGCTATCTCCATCCGTACTATCACCCACGATTGTTACATTCACATATTTATGAATTTATATTTATATTACATTCATTCGTATAGTTGTTGCTAACTTAATTGCCAATTGAATAACAACTCTCGTCAAACTTTCCCCCACAGCCACCACCTCCTCTCCAGCTACGTTAAACTGTTTATATGAACGATAAAATGTCTTTACCTTGCTCATGACTCTGTCGAAGCATGGGCCATTCACCATTGATCTCATTATTTGTTTTAACGAATTTAAAGAAAGGGAAACCATATTTAACGCGTATTCAAGTGGCCAATGTCAAACATCTGTTGACGTCGGACTGGACCGGAAACTGTTGCGTTTGATAAATCGTCCGGGTGAAATTTAAAGCTAATCAGCTAATAGCCAATTTAGCTTCGTTTCGACTTGATTTGTTGTTCAGAAAGTAAACAGCACCGCAATAATAACAATACGTGGTGGTAAACATTAGTAACTATACATGTGGAATTGTATAGTATTCACATTTAAGCAGTTTGTTGTGACTAGCAACTTCACCCGGAAGCCTTTCACCGGTACACCTGGAAAAAAAAAACTTGTAGAGAAAAATGAACATGGCATCTGCATTTAGCTCAACTTTTCTTGTGTAGTTCTGTAAGTAAACCTGGTGCCTAGAAAAGATGGCTTCTACATCCGACTCGGAAAACCCGTCAGTTTCTAATGTGGAAGAAAACAGAAGTCGTCTGTGCGATGAGTTTGCTGCAATAACGGGAAGTGACAGCGCTGTGGCTCAGTGCTACCTGGCTGAAAATGAATGGGAGATGGAGGTATGGTAGCTACACCCACTGAGGCCTCTCAACTGTGACATTACCTGGATAGGTTACTGTCGCAGCAAGATACAGAATACCACAGCTGGTGGCCAGTATGACAAATAAATCCAACACTGCTGCAGCTTATTTCACTGATTAGGTCAGCCTCTAATGTAAAATGTGCTGATCAGTGTCTAATCTTGGACCTGAATTACCACAACCATCTCTTTTTCTTTCAGAGAGCTTTGAACTCATTCTTTGAGGCTGATATGGAGCGAGTATTTGCAGTAGAAGATTCTCCTGAGAGGGAGACTGGCCCCAAAACAAAGAGGCAGAAGGTTGAGGAAAAGCCTCCAGGAGACTGGTAAGTCCCTCATTACTGTGTGTGATCACATCTACCAATGACTGTCTATTTGTGTTATAACCAGCCAACATTTAACAACTCTAAATTAACAGTCTCCACTCCAAAAAATCCCCAGTATAGATTTGACTGCAGACAGTCCAGCCTCCTCACGCAAACCCTCAGAAGAAGATGACAATAAACTGTCACTGATCTCCTGGAACGTGGATGGACTTGACACAGACAACCTTGCCGAGCGTGCCAGAGGCCTGTGCTCCTTCTTAGTCTTGTAAGCTTGTGTTTATACACTGTTACTCTTTGTTGGCATCTCTTGATATTTTATTTGTGGGAGACAATCCAATCTTATTCATTAAACTGTTGATATCAGAGGAGATACAACGTGTAGTTCAAGGTTTCAGGGGCTAAATCAGACAGAAGGAATGCTAATAATATTTGAAAAGTGAATCTTATCTTTGTGTAGATACACCCCTGACGTGGTGTTCCTACAGGAGCTAATTCCACCTTACGTCCAGTACTTGAAGAAACGGGCCGTCAGCTACCTAATCATTGAAGGTACAGTAAGTCTACTAGGCCTTTTTCAGCTTATAGTTTTTCGCATGTCACAGAAGGAAAAGCACAGGTGTAAATAACTAAACTAATGACGGCTGGATTCCATTTAGCTGCTCCTGCTATTGTGCATGTTGGCTTACTGGGACAATTGAATAGAACAGCCGTAATTAATGTTTTAAGAAGCACCTGTTCTTTTGCTTCTATCAGTCATAATGTCTGCTGTGTAAAAGAATTGTAGTTATTTTGTCTGTGGTGGTTACACAGTATGTTCTACTGAATACAAACAAGGCCCCACAACAGAATATGGGATAAACTTTGGCCGTGCTCAGCAGTTTAAACTATCTTAATTTGTGCTTACCAGCTGGCGAGGAAGGTTACTTCACTGGGATGATGCTGAAGAAGTCACGAGTCAAATTTGTGGAGAGCGAGATAGTAACTTACCCCACAACTCAGATGATGAGAAATCTGCTTGTAGCTCAGGTTTGTGCACACATAGTTGTCCAAACACTTAAATGGCATTTGCTTAACTTCAGCTCACCTCAGTTGATACAATGTTGGATTTTTTCTTTTTGAAAATCAGGTGGACTTCAAAGGTCAGAGGCTGTGTCTGATGACGTCCCACCTGGAGAGCTGTAAAGGCCAAGCAGAGGAGCGGATGAAACAGCTGCGAGTGGTGATGCAGAGGATGAGAGAGGCACCAGACAATGTCACCGTCCTGTTTGGAGGGGACACCAACCTGAGGGACGCTGAGGTCAGTCGTTTGTCTTTGTATCATGTGTGCAAAATCATCTGTGGCTCAAAAGCCCGAATAATATTTACAACAATGGAGTTACAACATGTTTACGCTTACATCCCCCCCCCCATACACGTAATCACACAGTGTCCCTCTCTAGTAATTATTCCTCTGGGCTCCATTCAGGTGGCCAAGGTGGGTCTGCCCCCAAGTGTCTGCGATGTGTGGGAGCGACTGGGAAAGCAGGAACACTGCCGCTACACATGGGACACCAAAGCCAACAGCAACAAGACTGTTCCTTACGTCAGTCGCTGCCGCTTCGACCGGGTCTATTTCCGCCCAGCTAACAAGGACGGCGTCCCACGCCAGGCCCCCGATCACATGGCCCTGGTGGGACTGGAGAAGCTGGACTGTGGACGCTACATTAGTGATCACTGGGGCATCTACTGTAGCTTCTCCGCTGGGTAGAAATGCTCCAAACAACCCGAAAAGGGCCAGTTAAATCTTTTGTTTTAGATCAGCTGATCTAATATGTTTTGTGTGTTTTACAGTCCCAGTACAAACCTCATCAGTGTTGGGTTCAAACCACAGTAACACTTCCCTGTGAAAGAAGATGTTCCGACCTCATCTGTAAATCTTGGTTTGATTAGTTTTATCCTCTAATGTGCCTCTTGTTGGAGTCTCTGCTCAACCTTTTTTCCCCTTAGAATAGCTAAATAAATGTAGAAAGCACCAATAAATGTTTAAATAAGTTTGCTGTGTTTTGAAATTAATTTTACCGTTGAAGCTAAAAGTTTATTCTTAACCTTTAAAACAGCAGTTGACAGAACTATCTAACCATTATTATTATTATTATTATTATTATTATTATTATTATTTTTATTATTATTAGCTGTCCTGGAGATTTCAATCATATCATGTGATCATCATCGGTTTGCCTAGTGGTCATGTAATTCTAGATTTCCATTTTTTCCTCAGAGCTTTAAGGTCTTTCGTCCGTGTTTGATTGGAAGTTGAATTACAGTGGAATTTAAAAGATCGTTGATCTTGGAAAGTTATGAGATTGTTTTCTCAACGTTTTATAGTTGTTTCCGGTCTGTATTTCAAAAAGTCTTCTGTTATATAGAAATGAAAGTGGTCAATGGTAACAAATATACTATACTGCAGGCAGATGTCTGTGTGTATGTATTACTGGCTTCTGACCACTAGAGAGCACTACAGAGTTTAATTGCAATTCAAAAAAGGGACATTTTCTGGTGACAGTCCGGAGTCCAGTATTTACATTAAAAAGGAAATAAAATTCAGTCAGTTTAAGTCTGAATGCTGATTACATGCATTACATCATTGTAATTAAACTATAGGTCCATAAACTAGGAACCAAGTGTAAACAAAATTCATACATATCAGGGTGAATTTGTTAAGCTGTTAAGCAGCTGATTTTTTTCAGACTTTATTGCAGTACATGAATTGTGATACAGCTACCTTTAATTTTTAGTTACTAGTACTACTTAAACTGACCTGTTTTATTAGTGCAATGTGACATAATACCAGTACCAGAAATCGCCCAATCTGGCAACACTGCATACAAAAGAAAATATGGTCGATAGAACAAAACAGATGTGGGATTATGTGTGTCAGTGGGAGAAATGGAAGTCTTGTGTAGTGAATATGTTGGCTCTGTACCATTTAAGTGTATCAATGAGCTTGTATGCAGTGGCAGGGTCCAAAAGCCAGCAGAGCTAAATGGAACGGAGCCCTTATTTCTATTATCATTTAAACTTGTGCTTTTCCTGCTATGTCATGTAAAATGTCTGTTGTGAAAAAGGTAAATTTGAATGTTTCTGTATATAATGATTTAATAGATTTAATAGCAAATATAATCTACATTCTACGTATCAATTCTACCCCAAACCTCCTCATCGCAGTCTCTTCCAGCACACTGTCAAGACGTCTCCCTCACCTCTCCCTGTAATGCACCCTTCAAATCTGAGAGTGTTTTCATGTTTGCTCGGCGAGCAGACAGCACAGTTGTTTTTTTTACAGCACAGCGACACAGAGTGAACAGGGGCTGACCTCAGGAGAGGACACAGATGTGACTCTTCCCTGGGAGCGGCTGTCATCAGAACAGCCCTTTCTACCTTGTTTATCCTCCGCTCACTGGTTCCTGATTAGCAAGGGCACATGGACGAAGTCCGTCCATCTCTAATGAGTTCACCTAAAGCCTAAAACATTAAGAATGAGTGTTCTCTGTTTTGTCTTCTGAGCCTGATTCATGTCATAGAATCAAAATTTAACTCACTGCGACACAAATATGACTTACTCTGTTGATTGGATAAGACAAATTAAGAACCAAACCTACTTAGAGATCCTGGGTTTGTATGCACCTGCAAATAATCCAGATTTGGTAGGTCATTTTCAGTACGAAGTAGGTTATTATTTTAATTTTTTAATCATCTTTACATCTAAAATATGTCCCCAAAAAATGCCCAGTACAATTTTCTGAAGCCCAGAGTGATGTCTTAAAATGTCTTCTTTTGTCCAAAACACAAAGACATTAAGTTAACACATTTTCACATTCATTAAATAACAATGAATAATTGTTTCAGTCAGTGGTAGACATTTTGTGTTGATTGCCCAGATTGTAATATGTAGTGTATTGTAACTAACACAGATTCAGGGTCAACATGAATGACTAGAGACAATAAAAATAAAATGATCTCGTCTTGAACCCAGTACAGGATGGGTCTTGCATGGAAAATAACATGCAAACAACTGTTGAGGAGGGAAAAATAAAAAAGTCAAGATGCTTATTTAATGGCTTCACAGCGAAGTGCCACACTGCAGGAGTTATTTGTGCCAATGAGCAGCAAAGCAGAGTCACAAATCTGAGTGTCATGGTTTCCTGTGATCCTCCAGAGGTGCACTATTTTGTCCTATTTGTGCACTGAGCAGTTTCCCACTACAGTTAGTGGAGGAGGAGAACAGCAGCAGGTCATAGATGGTACAGATGGAGGCAACAGCTGTCTGGGCCAAGAAAGTGGTCATGTGATCTATCCACCTGCCTCGAGCGGGAATCCTATGCCAGAGACCCATCAACGTTTCCCTCCTCCACAAATCCATAAACATCCGCATAAGTTTCCCCCTGGAAGGATACGTGGACATATTCCAAGATCATTTTACTCACCCTGCTTTTTTATTCTCTCTTACAATTTCACTCTGAGATGTGTTTTTCAAGCCTCACAGATGTATTTTTGGAGTTTTCCTCCAAAAGCATAGCCCTCAGTGAGAACTAGGGCTTTCATTTGAGGCCCGTCAAAATGAATGTTCTTGGTTTTGTGTTGGACGTATCCATGTGCTGGCGGGGCGGCTCTGGGATGAGGTTTGTCCTTTGAGGCAGGGTTGGACGATGATGGATCGGACACAGATCTGACCCGAGCCCGGAAGAGATCGGCGGCTTGTGTGAAGAGCAGCAGACGAATCTGTTCTGCAGCTCCTGGTAACAGATGGAGCAATACAATGCAAGAGGAGTATGATCTATTACTGTTGGATTGATAGACTGTTTGTATTTTTTTTTGTATTTGGGGTGCGAGCAGATGGCTGTGGGCAATATTTCCACTGTATATGTGTTTGTTTGTGTGTGGTTACATGAGCACAGCACTGTTGACAAGCAGAATCTATCTGGACCATGTCTGTCAGACACCGTCCACACAAAAGCACCCAGCTCCCCCTTTGTACAGATAGCTTGTCACAGGCAAGGCAAGGGCAATCGTAAGTGGTGCTCCACTCTCTATCACCACCGCCACATCCATCACTACTTCCCTTCAAAATTGCTCTGACAAACTGCCCCAGAAGCCAGCATTATTTCTGGCCGTACAGTGCTGCTGCTGCTGCTGCTTCTACTGCATATTTGAAGGCTGACTGTTATTTAGAGGTTTGCAAGATAAGGGGAAACCTCCTGAGAGAGAACATTTTGTCTCCCATCACTCTGAAAGGGTCAGGGAGGAAGCTAGGTGATACTTAGAGACTCATGCTAGGACTTGGGGCGAGTTATGATGTGAGGTAAAAAGGGTTTTATGAAATGTGTGGCAGCTCGACAAAGACTGAAATTTAAGGTAGGACACCACAGGCAAAAACATAGTTTTTCATGCATTGGTTTTTGAATTTGGAGATTTTGCCTCCATAACATGACTTCTTTCAGGAAAGAAAACACCCAAAATACACATTTAGGTGTTTATTGTTCTACACTTTGTCTATTTGCTTCTGTAGGTTCCCCTAAATTCATCAACAGTTAGCATTAGATATTGCCTCAATTGCATATTTAAACATAAATATTGCAATTGTAAATAAGTCTCATAGTAATATCTATTAGTTAAAAATGTTACAGTGGTGTCTCACCTCTGCAGTGGAAGCTTGTGTAAAAAAGAAGTCTCAAATGTCTGATACCAGTTACTTCAGGTTGCTATTTTCATCATAAACAACAAGGTTGACAGAAAGTTTAATAAAGACAAACAAGGACAGGGGTTCACTCAGTGTTACATAAGGTATCCTGAGCTGTAAATTATTTAACAAAATAAGGAGTGGACTAGATACAAGCTTCTAATTTGGGAAATACACTTTCTGGTGCAGAGTTAGAAGATTGATACCACGTTCATGTAAATATTGCTTACACTGTTAACAGCTTGCAGGAAAATCGCTTAACTTAGCACAAAGATAAAAAGAAACTGTGTGAAACTGCTAGCCAGGGGGTTTGTCAAATTATAACCACATCTGGCAACCAGAACCTCTAAAGCTCACTCATTAACATGCAGATTGTTCAATCTGTACAGGAACTTGTGTGTAAAAACAATAATTCACCATTTTACGTAAAATGTTTTTTACACTGGCTTTTGTACAGATTCAACAAACAGCAATAAAACACCTTCACCTGCTAGCTGTTTGCCCATTTCAAATCTTGTGCTAAGCTAAGCTAACAGGCTTCAGTCTTATATTCAATGAAGGTGATATTAATCTTCTAAACTCTCTGTCAGAAAGTGAATGAGTGTATTTCCCAAAATGTTAAATTATTCCTTTAAGATTGCACTTCATAAATATTAATTACTGAGAGTAAAAACATGGCTTAAAAATAAAATTAGAGTGATTATCAATCATTAATAAAATATGAGTATTTTAAAATATATGTAATAAATGTGTGTAAAAAAGTGTGTAAGTAAGAGACATTTTGTAACAAAGTCGGACAGGTTTTATTTTCTTTCGCTCATAAATAACACTGAACAAGCATCGTACAGCGATAAATATCAATATTTATGCACTGTAAAATTCTCTGTATTACAAAATACAGCATATGTGTAATGCACTTGATACAGATGGGAAGTATTGCGTTTCATAGCACCAAACGAGACCCTTAACTTGACCCTTTAACAGTTCAGGTGTGCAGTTACATCCCAGATTCAGGTCTTGTGGGAGTGTCTATGAAATATACTTCCCTTAGGAATCAGTTGTTGCATAACTATATCTAAGTAGAGCCCACCTAAGAAGAACCAAAGCCTGTCTCTGTAAAACATTTTTCCACAATCTCAAGTTTATCAAAATCCCAGTTGAGAGAAGTGATGAAAGTGTGTCCACGGTGGCCCATCAAGTTTCTTGTATTTGATTTTTGCATTAAACATGGTATTAAATCCACTTCTTTCCCATGTCTGAGCAGAACAGCTTCATCGATTCACACTTTGTTTGGAGGATAGGGACACTTCCTAAA